CAGCAGTTGGATGTTTGGAGACAAAAGGATCCAAAGGTGGTGGCCTAGGGTCCCATCTGACTCACTAAACCCAATATTAAAGAAATTTCTTTACCCTAAGTTCCCCATAGCAGAGGCTTAAGCATCAAATCTTTAAAAAGTAATTTTTTCAAATGATACAGAGGAAAAACAGCTTGAGTGAGGTGCCTCTGGAGAGTGACTCTGAACAAAGAAATCCCTGGGCAATTATACCCCTGCAATCTCAGTTCCCATTCCCTCATGTGATGGTTTGGACCAATAGTAATATTTGGGTCTGGGGTCTTCTTGCTCCTCATTGGATCTTTTCTGCGTCTCTAGGCTGGTTGTTCCTTTTCTTATCTTTAGGATGCAGCTTCTGCTGTCTACCTTATTTTTCATAGGAAGTATCAGTCTTGAGGCCTCTCTTCACATAACTAAGTCACATGTATGTAAGTTCAGCATAATTTCAGCTCTCGTGGTCTAAGGCTTTCATGAGTTTTTCTATTAATGCTATACGACGGCTTCTGTTGGAGCTGGGAAGTGACTATACAACAGATTCCATTTGAGCTACAACACCCAAAACAGGGCAGCCTGATCTACCCAGTGTTAGCAATGATCCCTGCTCTACGCTAATCCCCTTCCCCTCCAAATCACACTGAGGGGGTGCATGGGAGAGCACAAGCCTCCCAAGCTCCATGGCTTGGCCTGTGCCAAGACCATTACGGACAGAGCGCCACCAGTGAAGGCAGACAGACAGCCATGGTCCTCGAGTGTCTCCCAGTATAGATGAAGCCTTCATGCCAACAAGCCACAGCTGGAACTATGGACCTTTCCCCTCTGCAAGCTTCCCCTTCCTGTCCTGCCCTTAGAGATTCCAGTCTCGTAGCCTAGAAGAACCCATAAAGTCAAACTCACAGCAACGGTACTACCATAAGTATATAGACAGCAGTTAGAAGAAGTTGATATTTGTACATACAATTCTGTATACATTTACTAGACAATGTAAATTTTCAGGACCATGTATGTCTCAGCCCCTATATTAGGGCTATCAAAAACCACACCTGGGAAGACAGCATTAAGACTCCCTTGCCTGAAAAATGTGAAACTGCATCTGAAAAAAAAATAGCTGCATCAAAGAATCCTGAAAAAGCAGCAGTTGCAAAAGAGTGACCCACGGGTAAACAAGGTGTGGAGCTGAAGAAAACCCAAACGTTCCCATGGAAAAATAAATTAGCCACTGTAATAGCATTAGTGGAACTGTTTAAAATCATATATGAGAATGAAACACACCCCACTAAGTCTTCTAGGTTCTTCTCCAGAATTGCTCACTATGTATGTGCCTCCTGCCTTAACGAGTATTGCAGTATTTGGCCTATGGTTCTGCTATTTGCGTTTGGCTGGCCTGATAACCCATGCTTGAAGAACAGATCTAAAACCTGGCTGCGATACCAGAAGCCCCTTTGTCCATGGCTCTCCACTATCTCTACCTTCTAAAAATGATACCAGCAAAGGTCCCACACTTCATCATGCAGCTTCTCTTGACTCTGGCACAAAGCATTACTAGCTCCTGCTCTGCCATACATCAATTAGTGCAAAGGTTCGTTTCATGCAGAATTGTGAGGTTTTTTGCCTTAGCTCTTCACTAACAATTTCCAAAAGCCTGTTCACCTTTTTGACTGCCATTGCGAACTGAGTAGAAGCTTGGAGAGGGCCAGCCATGGTGATTCCAGGACACTCACCCATGGGTTCCACCATCAGGATTATTTTTCCTATTTATGTTACTTTGCTTACATTAACAGTGGATTTCAGTTACTATTTAAAATACCCTGTCAGCTTTTATTTTCAGTACATTGAATAACTTTATCTCAGCAAACTGTGTCATGCCACTGTTCACTATGCACAGCACAGGAGCTTGCGCAGCTCTTTGGAGCTCCACAGGGAACAATTTAGGAACTGCTGACACCATTTTTCATGTAGTAACGTCATGCTGAGCAAGCCAGAATTTCAGGATACATAATTTAGCAACAGCCAATATTTACTCTGGATTAGACAGATTTTGCTTTTGTCCAGCATACACAAGCTGGTTCCAGGGAGCAAGATGTACAAGCACTGTGAGCCAACCATAAATTACTGCCCCACTGACACAAAACAATCAGTGTGCATCAACAGTATTACAGTAAATACCAACATGGAGGCTTTAGAAGATGCAAGCAGCCTTTTGAAGAAGCACAGGTCACAGCTTCCACATGGGAAACCAGTAGAGGCAACACGCTCCCCACACCTTTCCTATCTAACCTTTCTGCAGTGCAGCGACTGAGCCCTATATTGCAGCATGCTTCTGGCTGTGAAGGTGGAACAAGGACCAGAAAACTGAGTGGGAGAAAGCAGAGATCAGGCATACAGCATGAGCACGAGGGAGAAACAACAAATAAACCAGCATTATCAGGGAGGAACAATCTGGTTTAACCATCCCCTCTTTTCAGATTTGTTTGGAAACCCTGGTACCAGCACTGATGTTGCACGTACTTTGGAAGAGCTTCATTACAACCAAACTCAAGTGTGGTTTTCAAAACCAAATCATTGTGCAACTGAAACAGAGCTTGAGCAATACAGATGAGGAATATCATGTATTCCTTGTTATTGGTTGTTGTTTTTTTTTTTTTTTCTGACTGTACTGCAGATATCAATGTGACAGTTTTAAGTGTAAAGCTTTCTAAGAGCTATTCAGGTATCATTAACAAATCATTTACATCTGCAGAAAATGAGGTACTCCAGTTGCAGAACAGACTATTTAAGCCACTATTCATACACTTCCCCAGTGAAGAACTGCAATTGTGTTTGAGATTTCTAACACCGCATTATACTACTACTATATCAGAAGCACAATCAAGTTACAAATTACAAAACCCAGCAGCTGATCCAGGACTAATCAAATGCCTTCTCTTTATTCCAGGTGATTAAAATGAAGGTGGGAGGAAAACTACCACCTCTACTCTGCCATTTACTTGCTTGTACTGGAGCTAGAGGCAGCACTAAACACACACGCAGCCCAAACAGGTATCACTCCTCACATGAAATCCAACACCACATGCCTACACTAGCAGGCATTTTAAAGCTGTAATAAAAAAACCCCACCTGTCATTGCCCCATATATTTTTCAGTAAAGGACTTGTTCGAATCAAACCAAACTCCACAAAACAGAAGGCCAAGAACACTTAACCTACCTAATACAAATTCCTCAAACAAGCTGCGAGAAATGTGATACTTGCATGCATAAGCCAACTCCCCACCTATGAACAGACCACCAGACCAGCAGAGAAAGCAACTAGTTTCCTCCTTCCTCCCCACCTCTAGCAAGTTTTCATACTCCTGCGTCATCTCACCAACTACGATCTCGCCACTACATAGCTGCTTCTCGTGCTCCTTCTGCTGTTAGCCGCAGCTGCACCAGTCCTGGAACACAGAGCTACCCACAAACACATACTGCACTTACCTAGGTGCATTGCTAAGGGCATGGGATGGTATTACATTTTGCAGTGTGCAAATCCTTAGAAGTAACTTCTTCATGTTGTCTCTCAAACAGGGTTCATTGTCCAGTGTGCAAAAGCCAATCTTGCACACACAGCCGAGATATCAGTTTATTCCATATACGCAAAGACAGGTGCTAGGTGGTAGTTCCACAAAGCTAGCACAGTACACAAAAGAAATTCTAAGTATTTATACACTTCAAACTGCATGATTACATAATTACTATAATGACCATTGGTTAGTTACTTATCACTTCTATGCTTCACTGGTTAGTAACATCCTCATCTCAATTTAAAGTTGCAGTGGGTTTTAATTTTTCTACACATGCTCAAGGGGTGAGGGTCTTTATTCAGGCAGGTGACTTCAAGGCAGTGGGAGTGATTTTTACTATTACAATGAGCTCTATTTACTGTTATAATGAGTTAAAATAGCTCTTCCAAAGGACACTCTAATCGCTAATTAAACTGATTCACAGTAAACAATTTTAACAAGCCTCCTTCTTCAAGGACAGCAACTCCTGATTAGAGATTCCTTACTAATTAGTGTTGAAAGTTTAAAGAGCAGGCTGCCCTGATGCACCTTATCTTTGTACTCAATGAGAAACATTTGTATGGATAATAATACATCCTAAGCGTCCTTGTGTTTGACAAGAAATATTTGTGAAGACTACATTATTGTTTGCAGATATATAGAGAACTCACAAGTTGCATCAAGTATGTGTGTTGTGTTCCCCTCAGAATCATGCCTGTGACACCTTTCCTGGTGGTTTGCTTCACTTTGCTGCATATAGGTGTAGAAAATGTAAACCAGGCTAGCGTTAGCTGTTACTAGATTCCATTTTTGGACATTTTGCCTATGGACATTGCCCACTCACTGCCAGCTTTACTCTTCATACTCTCACTTGGCTCCAGAACTGCTTCTTTCATGACATACCTTCTGACCCGCAGCCTCAGTGCCCCTTAGGAAAACACAGCAGCCAGGGATTACAGAACACAGTTTGAGATTCTGCCCTGACACTTTTCTTCAGCAGGGCAGAGCGCGGCTCCATGGCACTGAGCAGCTGGAGCAGGAGCCCAGCCAATGCTGTCAAACTCTACCCAAGACTAACTCATCAGTAACTTCAGTTAGAAGCCCCCACACATCCTGTGCTGCCCTCTGTCCAAATGACCCCAGTTTGTTTGATACTTCAAAGTCCTGCATCTTGTCCCGAGGACAAGGCCTGTAACCATTTCAGGAGTTGTATTTTTAGGTGGCTCTTTCTTACACATGCACATAAGATTTTTCTCTCCCCCGCTATAATTTCCAACAAGTGATTGCCACCTAGATCACCAAGACACGTAACCAGGCACGGAGTTCCAAAAAAAGGAAAAAGTGCTTAAACATACATGTAAATTTAAGCACACTGATATTTCTTGACAAATCAGGACCTAACAAAAGTCATTAACCAGAGATACACAACAAAAAAAAAAATAATCTACAGGTATCATAATTCTTTATTTACGTTAGCTGAGAATGCGTATTTGGCTCAGGACTGTTTATCCTTGACTTTAAAGAGACTGTCTGCAAATAATATAAAAAAATAGAAAATGTAAAATTAATCAGTATTTTTCAAATTGCCACAAATTTTGAAAACAGTTGTATAAATTCTGCAAACTTTGTGTGCCCTTAAAGGGGCATCATTTAGTTACCATATATAATGATATTTGAAAATATTAGTACTTTACCCTAAAGTTTAAACATAGACATATTCATGATGTGTGTAATTTCAAGAGGGTATCAAAAGTGATAATGGTTAGAAAAATATACATACTTTTGCTTCTGGAAAACAACAGGTCATTTGAAATATCTGTCAAATAAAATACTAAAAAGCCTCTCTGCAGATTTTTTTTCACAGTCCAACATAAAATATATGTTTACATACAGCTTCGGCAATCTGTTATTTTCAAGATATAGTCAAAATTTCACCAGTACAGAAAAATGTAATCTGTTAGTACTCTCTAAACTGTTGGCTGCACTGATGTGTGATTGTTTAGGCAAGCCAAAATAGTAGAGCCATACAGTGATACACAAAGCAATCATCAGAAAGATAAACAAAAATGAAAATACACCATAACGAAGGAAAGCATATTGATAAAGGTAACATTGAGAGGAACAGTGACCAACAGTAAAAGACATGAACTCTGTAATAGCATGCAGTAATTTCTACAAGAAAACAAACAAATAAACATACTCCAAGTATTAAAAGGACACTTTTGTGGTACTTCTCATGAATTTTTAGAAGTATTATTAAAGATTACTTTACTTTCTACTGGATATAGCCTGGACTGAATTTGTTTCAGTGGATACAGTTTGTTGCTGTGCTTCAGCCTGTGGCAGTGTTAAACTTCAGTTGCCCACCACCCCCACCCCCCCCACCCCCCCCCCAAGGAAAACAAAACAAACCCACTAAGGTTTTAAAAGGAATTGAGATGGGAAGAAATTTGCAAAAACATGTGCTTTCAGTACCTGAGTGCAATGCAGTAGCCAGCATGACTATGGTTTGATTATTACTTGTTTAAATTAAGTCTGCTGTAAAAAATAATTTCAGAAGAGCAAGATGGCACTTGCAACAGTGACTGAAGTTAAAGACATGGTGACACTGCAAGGTCTGAAATCCTTCACAGTGTCCTTTTAAGTGTCAGTAGACTAGTATCTTAGCTGCAACTGAAAAAGAACAGAGGCAAATCCTAATGAAATAACCCAAATCAAGAATGTTACAGTATTTCACAGTAATAAAATCTATGAAACTATTGAACAGAAAAAAGCATGAAGGATAATAGCAGCATATGGTTTACAGTTTTCACTTTTAAGTTTATTAATATTAGTGGTGCACTCGGCAATGGATAAAGCAAGGAATGAAATTCTGATAAAACCAATTATCTACCACATGTCAACACTTAATTATGGTCCTTGTAAACAGCTAACTCCTTTTTGAACTTTAATTGCAAATAAAAGAATATTTACATATAATATATATGTATATAACCACAAAACCAAAATTAAGTCAAATCCTTATCAAGGAAATCACATTTTGAAGAGCAGAAAACATAATACAGTATTAAATAGTACATGTCCAAAGATTTTGAAGGCATTGTAATTTTCATGTTTTCTTCCTCCAGTCATTTCCTCCTGGATTTTAATAGACTAAATACTTCATTTCAGAGTAAATAAGTGGAAATATTATAGAGCAACTCCGGTAGAGAATAGCTCCACTACTGAAAAATGCTCGAGGTGTGGTGATCCAGGACTCTGACTTAAAGCAAAAATAAACAGCATATAATGCCACAGCAAAGAAGTGGCCAATCAGTACCATTGGTTTAGGAGATAACCTGTATTAAAAATAAATAGATAAAACACATAAATAAACAGAATCAGAAAGCACTGTCAAATTTTTATTTTACAAATAGGGATCTTCACTCAAGACTATATACCCTTTTCTGATTTAGGCAGCTCTGGTCCTGCTGTCTCAACTGAAAAATACAAAACTTGGTTGTCTTGGAGCTGCTACACACCCTTTATTCCCTTCCACAGTACAGCCAACATACACTGCTGCTTCCTCTTAATTTTGGGTAGTCTCTCCCTGCCTTTATCAACCCCTTAACAGGCTCTCAGTTTTAGCTCTCATTCCAAAAAGAGAAAAATATAAATACATGCGTTCTCACATATTCAAAGTAGTATGATTTATTGGGAGTTCACTAGTTTCTAAGGGGTCATTCACAACACCTTGTTACCCATTTCCCGGTTCCTTATGCTCTTTTATGGGAGACCTCATCCTTCACTATTCTCAACTTGTCAAGCGTGAAATATCTCCACCTGCTCCTCTGCTAGTCTGGACCCCGCTACCTCATTCAAACTTCCATGACACCTACATTAATTCCTCTGCAGCTTTTAGTGGCTTTTCTTACAACAAAAAAAACCCAGAGTTAGCATTTAAAGACATAGCTTCTAACAAAGCTCCAACCTTTAGTATAATCCTAAAAATACAGGCTCATGTGGACCATTCTCCCTATGCAGAGCTGACTGGGAACAAAGCAGATCCTCACAGAGACTCACAATGCTTGACCTTGTTCACATTAGCTACTACCAGCACACTGGACTTACACAGATAGCAATCCAACAGGACCCGAGACACACTCTCCACCAAGTCTGAAGTAATGGAAACAGGCTTTCTTTAGCTGATGCAAGGAATCTACAAAATGAATTAAAATGAGTCAACAAATGTAATTAACACATACTGAAAATTTTTTCAGCATACACAACAGTGATATTAAATCCAGGACTTTGGTAGCTGTTGTTCTGTTAAATTCAGCTGGATTTTGAGCTAGTTTTATTTAAATAAAGGATAGTCCTAAGAATATGTAGATATTCTATCGATTAACTGACACAAGAACAAGTTGGGTTTTTTTTCTTTGTGGGGTTTCTCTTTAGTTTTGATTTTTTAATACTAACTCCAGATATGCCTTCACATTGCTAAAATTCAGTTTACGTAACACTAGAACTACACAACTAGGCAGAGAACACAAGCTAATTCATTAAAATCCTTTGATTGATATATTATCAATATACATATATACACATATATATACACATACAAACACATGAACATACACTTATAGACATACAGAACCCCTCCCCAGGCATATTTATTTATTAAATTGTAATTAGTCAGAAGTTATCTCTAAAATATACTTACCATCTGTGGCAGCAAAGAGTTCATAAAGTGCCTGGGCAAGAACATTCACTACAAAAGAATGAGATTTCTTTCTTGACCAGTAAAATGTTCTTTTTGCCTAAAAAATGGGAAAAAAAAAAAAAAAAAAAAAAGTATTTCTGTCAGTGAGTACAGAAGAGCATTCAAAAAATTCCCGAAGAAGTGGTAAGAATCATACTCATGAAAATGTAGAGCAGATTTAGTGACACACTAGATACCAAGCCAGGTCACTAAGGAATTCTGGAAACTTGAGCCAGTGATTTAGGCTCCTCTTAGACTAAATATAGGGGCGTGGGGGTGGGGTGGGAAAAAGAAGGAAAAAGAAGGTAGTTCCAGGGTGCGCTTCATCTCATCCTACAGTAGGTAGCTGAGGTAGGTCAGAAACTTGAAGGATAACACTCACCTAGTTCTCTCTGTTGACTAAGTAGGAAATAACTGAAAGTCTGAGATGTACGTACCTGCATTTGGTAAATCCTGTATTGCCCTGACATCTAAGGTCCTTTTAAGTGCTTCTCAATTTTCAAATACACTTTCTGAATCATTTACGTGTAGTCTGTAATTATTCTAGCTGTAATTTAGCCAAGACAATACGCCTAACCCAATTAAAAGCAGTAAACAAATAAATAAGAAATCTGATTATCTACTCATCAGAATTTTGGCTCTAAATCTCACTGAAAAAATAAACCTAACATCAACACTTCTGGTGCTGGTTCCTGAGAAAGAAGAATGTCTTCCAACTTACTACTGTGAGATTAATGCAGCAATCAAGAGGCTAGTGGAACATCGAGATGCATCTTGAAAATCTCAGCACACGTGCTCATTATTATTTAAGTACCATGCTGACTAGACTCCACTCTCTTTAAGCAAAACACGATAGCTCAGTAAGCACAGTTTTGAATCTGCCTCTTGCTGCACAGCCACAGCACTCGCAAATCACAGCTCCGCTTACTGGTGAATGCCTAATGTATGATTTATCTATCCAAACCTTTGAAAACTGCTGTGCCTCACTAATAACTTACATGTCCCCGAATTGCACAAAACTTTAAAGTGTGTCATCACAGCAAAATCTGCCCAAAATAAGTCCAAAATTAAGCTTCACCTTAAGAACATCAGAATCTTCATAAAGGTCTGGAATATCCTGGAGCAAACTTCTCCATATTTTAACATCATTTAAAACAACACTCATTCCTCCACCAGTTAAAGGGTGTCTTATATTATATGCATCTCCTAAAAGAAGAACACCTGCGTAGAAGAAAAAAAAACAATGGGATCCTGCATGAGCAATATGTAATCTTAGAACTCAAACCATCTATTTTTTTAAAAGTCAGTCTTACAAAGAATTCATTCCCACCAGAAAATAAGATGAATAACTAGAAGTTAAAAAAGAAAAAAGAACGGGGGAAAAAAAAAAAAAAAAGTCTTTAACAGGCTTAAAAAGGCTTAATGAAGATCAAGGTCAAAATATTTTTTCCCTATATATATGCATATGTGTGTGTCAACACAAACCCACACTTTCTTAGGTAATTTCTTTCCTTTTTTAATCCAGATTTCCTTAAAGAGACCATACTTGTATAAGCTTGAACAACTGAGTGATTTAAACTTAATAAAGCAGGCACTGATTTGAAGTTTGGTGTCAATACAGACATTCCAGTTAAACTATGCCCAAGGTACACCTTTTCAAAATATTATTTTTCATAGAAGAATTACGAGACAGTTGTATTGAACAACAAATATACATCTGTGACAACAAAGCCGTAAGTCCCAGAAGAAGTTTATAATGCCTTTTTCCCTCTTCTTATTTCATAATACACACCTTTTTTGTTTACAGCTGAAGGAGGCAAGAAGCTGGCTGGCATAGTCCTTAAACGATCATACTGAACTGCTATTAAGAATGGTTCCTTTAAGTGATCTGCAATAACCAAATATTTTAGTTACAATACTTAGAGTCTAAAAATAACTTACACATAACCCATTTTAACCTCCTTTTAGAGATATAATCCTTCTGAATTGCTAACCACACAGATGTGAGCTGAACAAACTGCTATGTGCTGGGCAACTGAAGAAGGGTGAATGGTTACTGAAACAGTAACTGAACACGTGGAAAAAAACCCACACAGTTCAATGGATTCAATGAAATGTGCCTTTTTTGGCACATTTAGTTGTGACAATTATGGATGGAAATCTTTTCTAGACTTACCAGGTAGTTGCGGATAAATGTTCTCAATCATGTATTCTTTTAAGTTTTTTGGCATTTCTCCTCGAATATCAACAAGGACCCGAGTCTCAGTTGAAGAAATCTGATAGATTAGAACTGGACTAGTTTTAGCTAAAACAAGTTCAGCATAATTAGCTTTAAACTGTGGTGCATCCTTAAAAAGAAAAGAAGGGGGAGAAAGATTGAGACTGATTAATGAAAGAATATTAAACTCCAGATATACAAAATAATTTTCTGAAATACTCTGAAATAAAATCCTGTATCATATTAGGTTTGTGTTATTTTTCTCTTTAAATGAACAAGAGAAGCATTTTCAAAAAGGAAGTGCTGAACTTCAGTGTAGCTACAATTCTTTTGGCAATACACTATAATATTTACTAGAATATGTTGTTATACATTTCATTTGAATACCTCACTAATATGTAATACATGCCATTGATAATCTGTAATGTAATCATTGTAGCATTTTTGGTAAGATCATTTTGGTTTCTTTTCATAAGGTAAGTGGTCGGAGGGAAAGAAATACAGTAGTCTATATAAAACTACATGGAGATAGCAACTGAGCAAGAACCACAGGGTCCTATCTAACTAGGGCTTAAACACATTTCCAAAATAAGAGAAACAGGAGGCACTTGGGCAGTGGTAAGTGGGTTAGGGACCCAAAAAGTGCTGAAGTTCCTCCGAGTCAGTGTTCCCAGTCCAGTGAAAGTTCTGTAGTTTTAGTTTCTTTCCCTTAATTATTTCTGATGTTAATACGATAGTTAACGCAGCAGCCACGGAAGGCGAGACCCAGCCAGGATTTATATCCAAGTTCTCCAACCACCCAGCTACCAAACTAGATTCCCACATTGTCTCTTGAAGTTTATGGTCCTGAAGGTACGTGTGTACCTGGTTAAAGGCATCCCACCGTCAGGCAGGGGCACAGCTGGGTATTCTTCTGGAGTGTAAAACATAGGTGGCTTGACCCACAGCTGCTAGGATGATCTAAAACTCAAGATTTCCACTCCCTGAACAAGTGCCGTAAGTATTGGGAAAAAACAAGTGTCATCATCTTAGCTACTGATATCTTAACACAAACCAGTCAAAGAGCCTATATCCAGGGAAATAATTTTACAAACTGGGTTCCATCTTTACACTGGCGCCTACTTCTAATCCAGAGATTAGTGCTGTGTAAATCCAGTGCTCAGTTTAAACTGGCCATGTTGAATCCTAATCCAGGTTGGTTTTAAATCCTCCCTTGTTCAACTACGTGTTTAAGATTAACACTATACTCCACTCTTAAAACTTTTCTAACTTTTAACAACAATATCCACTTTTAAAAAAAAAAAACAACCAAAACTAAAACTGGCTCAGAGTTACTTGGAAATGTTTTAAGAGTTGAAAATCTGATCTGTAATGATACCAAATACATTAAGTCTCAGATAGCAAGTTCAGCTATCCTAAACCTGGGATGGAGTATGCATTAATAATTTCAGAATTAAAAACATTTCCAAAATTTCCAAGCACTCCTCAAAGGGACACAGAAACTGATAGAACAGCTGGATAAACACCTGAAAGCATAGTTCTAATTGATTCTGTTACAAAAGACAATGAACAACATATTCAGTGAAATTCAGACCCACATTAACAAGTGGTAGCATACTGGCTTACATAGTAAATAAAAATAAAAAAATAAATGACATAAAAATTACCTGCAAAATGCAACCAACAAAATGGGATGAAACAGTAACTTTGCTGGAGACCAAGTTTTTTCTGAACTTGGAGAAAAGTCCATCAGCTACAACAGTAAGTGGTGCATGAAGTTCCTGCAGCATAAAGAAAAAATAAAAAAAGATATGACATTTTCAATTTTGCTTCAGGACAGTGGGAAACAACTCCAAAGCTCTCATTTTCTTTTGCATATTAGATGTTCTACAAAACAACAAACATGTCAGAGGACCACAGGCCATATTTATAATATATATTAAGAAATTAGTATTTTTTACCTGCCTCATATTCATATTTAACCCTATTTCCTCTAAAAGTTGATCTAACAATATACTCCAGGAGGCTTTTTTAGACATGTGATCATGTAAGATAGTTATGGAGACTGTATACGAACTTGGATTAAAAAAAAAAAAAACACTCAAAAGTAGAGTAATTGCTCCCTTCAGCCTACAATGCTCTTCAGGAGGAAAAAGAAAATGAAGAAGAAATTTTAAATTAAAGACACATGCATAAGTAGCTAAACAAAAACAAACTGAAGTGTAACAAACTGAAATGCAAACATACCAAGATCTTCTTTAAAAAAGCAAGCAGTGAACTCTGAGCAGTTCCTAGTACACTTAGGATCTATGAGAACAAATAGCGTATATAGACAAAATATAAAATAAAATCTGAGTAAACTGATTTGGTTCAGCCTGAATGTATGCACAATTTCCTAATCTTTAACATACACGTTGTTCTCTAACATGAGCAAATTATTCCAGTCATTAAAATATATTTTTAAGCATTTTACTGTTATGGTAATATAACAACATCATTATACTGGAAATCATTTAGAGGTAGATGTTTCCTTCTACTTACAGCTTTCTCAGTGCCAGTATATTCAGTGATTTAACTGCAAATGACTGCAGATTTATATGGAGCATCAAGGCAAAAAAGCATGCTGTGCTTCATTTGTACTCCTGGAAAATATTTTACTATTGGATGGAAGTATCTGGCAAGCCAGTACGTGAATGATTTCCTCTCAACTCAGAGAGAAAACTGAAAAATCAACTCAGTCACTTGTGTCACACAATCCTTACATCTTTTGCTATGTCAAGAGAAGTCAGACAAAAATCAGATGAGATTAGAGCTGAGTAAAATAATACAAATTTCTGGTGTTAAGCTTATAGAAGTGAGATCCTAAGTAGAGCTAACAAAACCTCTTTCCTATGGATTCCTGTTTTAGATGACTGCAAGCTCTAATAATTCCTGCAATTAGAGTAAAGTCACCTGCCCACATGGGTTCCCTGGTGTCTAATGATCTGAACATCCACGCCACAATTTTTCCAGTCAACATACTAAGACCTTTATTCAGTTGCCTGGTTTAGATAAATTTTGTAAGTTGACTTTTAGCATACTGGCTAATTTGAACCTCATTTAAGACAATAAAAATATCAACGGTAATGTGGTGGACAACAGGGATGGAGAGAACAGAAAAAACACACAACATAGATTGGCCTCCTTTCTTTAAGAAAGCAGGCTAGGGAATGTAAAGAGGATTTTTTTGTTGTTGTTGTTTTTTTTTTTTTTGTTTGGTTGGTTTTGTTTTTTTTTGTTTTTTTATTTTTTTTCCCTAAGTTGTTTCCCAGTTGTAAAAAGTCACAGGTAGGGAAACACAGTTAAGAAGAAATGTTTAGTGGATATTTCTTACCCTTTGATTTTAGAAATTTAGTGTATCTAGGCCAGCAAATGAAACAGTTCTTTCCAGCCACAGAACTTCAGCATTCAGCGTAAAGCATGAGTATGTTTATCCCTGTTATACTGACAGGAAACTCAAAACCTTAAGAACACCATTCATGCTCTCAGAAAAGATGCAGGCTAAAACACTGGTCACCCTACTGCTGGTCAAGTAACTCACACTTAAAATGACAACAACAACATCCATAAATGTGTAAAGCTTAAAAACAAATCTCAAAGCAAAATATGCATTATCCCCCTCCACTACCCAAACAAACCAAACCAAAAATAAACCTTCTGCATTGCTGTATGATAAAGCCAATTGGATCGGAGGAAAAAAAAAACCAACCAACCAAAAACAAACACACAAAAAAACCCACCAAACACTACCACCACAAAAAAAAACAAAACCAAAAAAAATAAACCATCCCCTCTCAAACTCCCTATCTTTCCATCACCCATATGTGATTCAATGGTTTATTCTACTAGAGTGAATTTCTTAATACAACTTTTATTCATTTTACATGTAGGACAGACCAATGAACAGGACTTGGGACTCTCCCTTTCTCCGGCTACCTCCAGAGGGGCCAAGGATGTTGCTTTCACTCAGCTCTCTTGCAGCTTCCTACTAACAGCACTTCGCCATCAAGTTGCCTGATGAGGGTCTAAAATCAGCTAGCTCTCCTACATCTTGGGCAAGTACTTTTAAAAGGTTCTCTTACATATGGTTTTATACAACAGTTTCCATTTCTAAATGACCTAAAGATGAGTGATTTTGTTAGTAATGCTCAGAGCAGGATCTTCCAACTACTCAGGAACTTCCTCAGTCTTCTCTGGAAGGCAGCAGAGGGTAGGCAGGAGATTCCTGTCTTCCCATCAGAGCACATCTGAATACACTGGCTATGTAACTTTAACCAGCAAAGGAATTTTAAAGTCAACAAAGGAGGAGATTACAAATCTGGCTTTTCTAGAGAATAGGCAGTATATCCAGAACTTCATCACATAGGTTCTACCTAGACTGGTCCTTCCTGAACTTCTTATTACAAGTTCACACAATTTCACAGCATTTAGCCAGCAGTTTAGCATAAGTTGAAGCAACGAACATTAATCAAATCTGTGACACAATTAAAATAGGTCAGAACTCTCTTTCTGTGATCCAAGAAATAACTGGACAGAGATATCTCTACAAATAGGCACCTATCTTCTTATTTTCAGACACCTCAGTCAATGGTGGAAGTGGAAATTTAAACCGTTACACACAGGCAAAGCAGAATTCTTAATATAGTTTTTTCTACCAGTACCTCTCAAAAGATTTTAAACTCCAGACATATGAATATTGAAATAAATAATGAATTGAATTCTCCAGAGACACAGAAAGCAGAAGCTGCACAAAAATTTATAAGAAGAATTTCCATATGCCGGGATTGTATCTACTTGAAAGTAATCTCCCTTTATTAAAGCTTTTGCTTTCTTGAGAATTGCATTATTTCTCCACCAGTGGTCCAAAACAGAAGTTTTAAAAAATTTTTGTATATATATACATATATATATATATATAACAATTCTCGATTTTCTCAATATTTTAACAAAGATAGTAACAGAAAACTGTCTTACCTTAGTGTCTCCAGTTTCTTTGTCCTTGTACTGAACACCCACAACACAGTCATCTTCCTCCAGCAATTGTAACACAGTTCCCTCAATGAATTTTGCACTGAAATAAAAGAGGAGTTAGAACAGAATGGAAAAATAATGATGTAAACATTTCAAGGCACTAGACACAGAAGGAAAAACAGATTTTCACTAATCTTGTCTCTGCCAACACAAGCAGTTTGATTAAATTTTACAGATGTGTTCTTGAGCACTTTCAGAAGCCACATTAAACATCAAAAGTGTTTGTCATTAATTTCAGTTCAACACTACCATTTGGTTTGATACCTGAGAATATTCTAAAACTGTAGTTCTTAAACACCCTACCGCTTAGCAGAATCCCCAGTTGTGCTTCAGGTGGTCCATGGCCATGTGAGAGATGCAGAGAGGAGTCTGACACCTAATAATGGTCAGAAATCAGGCAGCTGACTGAGTCATCCCTGCTAAATGGTAGGAAACGCTGGCAGTACAGGTGAGACATAATTCCAAGCAGAATTCAGAAGCAAGCTCTGAAGTAGCACTTCAACACTTAACACATACACTAGATAAAAGTATGGTACCTAATTCTCAGAGTAGTCCAAAATAATCTAGCCTTTTTAGGACAAAGACACCTAAGATTTCAGAATACACTTTTTTTTTTTTTTTTTTTTTTGGCTATTTATGCTTTTAAAGTTCTGCTAGTGCTCATGTTCAGAGTCAGAAATGAGTATCTCTTACTTCTACCTCCCAACCAGAGGTATTTGGGGTTCACAAATTAGATCTCTGTATACTTATATCCCATGTTGGGTCTGAACCTGATCCCAGCAGTTCAGACTTAGCAGCTCGAAATGGACACTTGTAAAAATGAGCTAAATGTCCATGTGAGAATACAACAGTTTGGTATTTCAGACTCTCAGAGGGAATATGAGCAATTGAATTCATGTCTTTTCTACATGTCAGCTAGCACAGAAGTTTCAGAGCAGATCATGACTGGCTTAATTTGAGAAGCAACAGGCAGGTTGGCTGTATGTGTAAGCACACCGGGAGAAGCTTCAACACCAAGGGAGTGCAGCAACATCTCAGGTTAATAGCAGGTGAATCAGATCTGCAGATCCTACTGGCTTTAAATTTATAGCTGTCATTTCAGTTATCTAAGTACATGCCCACTTCATTTTCTGGTTCTCACCCACTATAAAAATAATTAACTGATGATGACCTACCTCTTTCCTCTGCAAAATTAATTTTACTCATCTGAAATAAATTCATATTGTCTAGTACTTACAAAGAGGATATATTAATCAGTAATAATTATCCTCTACATTTTCACAAACTTTGAGATGAAAAACAAAGCCTCATAGCACTATTAAGAGTTTTTGATCTCTCTCGCAACTTAATTTAACATGCGGTTTTCAAAGCTACAATTAAAATGGAAAACAGACATACAAGAAACGAACATTAAGGACAGTGTGCAAAAGGGGGAAAGAATTGAATTCAAGTCACAGACATCTTTTATAAGTTTCTGCCTCAAAGACTGTGTACAACTACTGGACTTTTCCCCGTAAGTTGAGAGAACAGGTACCCAAATTTCATTGAACTTGAAGCCTCAACAAGAAGGCTTTAGCTTTTATAGCTAATAAATGCGGTTGCCACTAATTTTAACTGTACTATGGATCTGCTACCTTTTAGTGCCACTTTTAATAATTCATGATAGAACAGTTACTATAGGAGAAAGCAATTTTCCAGTTCAGAATAAAGACATGTAACGTAAAAAAAAAAAAATTATAATGGCATGTTTCCCTTGTAAGCATTATTTAATGGAAAAAAAAGCCGAAACAATAAAATACCCCACAGAAACCAGCACCTAGAATCTATTCTGTTTCAATAAAAGTTACCTTCTCATCTCTTGTATAAAGTAAGTCAAAGAGGAAATATCAAACACTAGTTTTTATTTCATTAGGAGAAGCTGTCTTCAAGACTCCAAAAACCAGAAGTTAATAACTGGAAAAAGCTACTTCCATTTAGTGCTCCTTTCTAGTTATTTTTCTTGACTACTTGTTATAAGAAAAAAACAAAACATGCAAATGTAAACGAAGCTTGATTTCTGGCAACACAAGTAACATCAGTGCAAGAAATATATGTCCCGGCTCATTGCAGGAGGGTTGGACTACGTGACCTTTAAAAGTCCCTTCCAACCCAAACCATTCTATGATTCTAAGAAACAACACCAGATTTGCCACTTGTTTCTTGACTAAAGAAGTTCTACACATTGCTCATTGAGAAGAGTTTGCTTCTTCTAGTAAAGTGCCAAACCCAAGAATCAGTAGAAGAGACTCAGCCCTTTACCCTTGAACTGTTCTCTCACACGGTGGGCCAGTACCTTGACTAATATTTAAAGCCTATATTCCCATAGTTTAAAGAATAACTTGTCCCAAAGGGTAATGTATGATGTATATGCAACTCATTAACATGTCTACAGGAAACAGAACGAGTAATTATAGCTGTTACTTTCTCTCAGCCCTGTTCATTGAAGCCCTCTGTGTGGGGACAGAGTGAAATAGTTAAGGAACCTCAACAGGTACTGGGAACGGTGCTTCTGAATATCTGTATTCCAACTGTGCCATTCATGAGGTGACTCACTTGGGCTCTGCCATAGCTGCCCTTCGGAGACCCATGATGAACTGGCCATGATGGAAAGATCTTCCACTCGCCACGCGGCCATCCTCAGATGTTGGATAAGGAATTTCAACCTCCGAGTTGCTCTCTCTGTCATGAATTACGTAACCATTTACTATTTGTGAATCAATACCTTCTACTGCATCTGCAAAATATAAGACAACAGAAGAGTTTAAAAAAGTCTTTAAGAGAGGTTAATTATTTATAAAAATATTTGCTTACATAGAGTCCATTTCCTTAATCAAAACACATGCTGAAGGATGAATATATTCAAAATGGAAGACTAGAAATACACAAGCAATTTTAGTTCAAATATTAAGCACAGATAATGTATTTTTTCATTCTCCCAGTAGGCATGCTTTTTCTGAAAACATAATTGAGTGTAATAACTGTTCTGTTATAGATATATTTACATTTTGAAATGCACTCACCTTCAAGACCCAAGTCTTTAAGTGCATTAAAACCTCCAGGTTGCAACAGTTCTCCAACTATCCTGTCAGGTTCTTTCAGATCCCTTTCTATCACAGTCACCTTTCTTCCATCCCTCGAGAGCACCGTAGCCAAGGAAGACCCAAGGACGCCTGATCCCACAATGATAATTTCTGGATCGTATTGGGGCGATAATGTTGCATTTGGAACAGTCTCTGTCAGATGTACATCTGAGAAGTTTACTTCTCTTTTACCCTTTAGAAAAGAAAGCCAACAAAGTTACATGTGCCGATGTATGTGTACCATAACCTTCTCAGAGGGCCGACTTTGGATTAGTTTTACTTTGACCCAGAGGACTGAAAGCACACCGGTAGTTGGAAAGCATCTTCCAGTTTAGTTTTGTCCAAAATGAAATCAGTTGTACTCTACAATGCAACAAAAACTCAACAAGCAGAGAAAAGAAGAAACAACGACCCTCCCCAAACAAAATCAAGATACTTGCATAAAAATGCCCTGATGATCAAACCAAACCACTAACACAGTGTCAGAGAGACCAAAAGTCAAGTTCCTACAAAACACAGTAAGCCAAGGCTGCCCCATATTCCTGGTCTATAAAGTAACACACCAATGCCATGATACCAGTGAGCCACTACCACACAGAGGCCTTAGCACTTTGCAATGAAAAAGTTATCAGATTCACTGGAAAATGCATTCCTCTAATTTTACTGTAAGTGAACCTACCTACCAAAATAACAGCCTATAGTAATACTTAGCATGGAAAAGTGTCAGAAGCAGCTACCTATGAAACGTTATAAAGAAGTGGTCCTGAAATGCAAACTCGTCAGTCAAAAGTATAGGCAAAATTACCATTCACCTACACTTAAAAACTATTAAGAATTGACATACATCAGATTACATATCAGTTAACATATAAACTGGTACCCAAAGACCAGCGATGTTATAGTACCTTCCCAACAGCATCTCTTCAAAGCAAAAAAATGTTGTGAGGGCAACTCCAGAGCAAACCTGCAAGTCATTTCTCCAGCTGGTAGAATGAAGAATAGAGTCCAATTCACTCTGCCTCAGCACTGCAGTGCTGACAGTGGTAAAAATATGATTGCATCAGTAAAACAAATGCCCAGAACAACATTGACATCAGAATTTCTAGTGGTATAGTGTCATGTTTATACCTACAATGCAACAGGAGAGTGGAAAACTATCTGAATTCAGGTAATACAAGAAATTGTGGTAAAGGCAGGCTTTATCAAAAAAAAACCAAAATAAAAATCCAGAACCTTTGACTTGCAGTCAAAACCAGTTCCAAGTTCTTTTGTTCAAGGGGTCAGTGCTCAGCTGAAAATGCCCAGAAGTACACAGGAAAGAAGCCAAACAGTGCCGATCCACAGACGTACTGAATATGCATGTCCAGTGGGTAGTCTCAGATGGCAGGACTCCAGCTAAGCTCCAGCCAGGAACTACAGCTCTCTCCACTGTCTCACAGCAAGTCTCATCCTGGGCTCAGCAGAACAGACTGACTACCTGAGCTCTGGTCCTGTACCTATTGTACAAGCAATTGTTTGGCAATAATTTCCAAATAACTCTATCTTCCATCATCTAGACAAATGTGTTTTATCCATAAATATTAGGAAGCTGATCACAGAGCCACAGAATGGCTGGCATTGGAAAGGACCTCTGGAGGTCATCTGGTCCAAAGCCCCCTGTCCAAGCAAGGTGAGAACAGACTGGCCTGGACCTTGTCCAGCTGGGTTTTGAATACCTCCAAGGATGAACACTCTGCGACCTCACTGGGCAATGTGTTCCACTGCTCAGTCACCCCCACAGCAAAAGTGTTCCCTCATGTTCAGAGCAAACGTCGTGTATTTCAGTCTGTGCCCATTGCCTCCTGTCCTGTCACCAGGCATTGATGAAAAGAGCCTAGCTCCATGCCCTTTGCACCCTCCTTTCATATATTTACACCCATCGATGAGATCCTCCTGAGCCTTCTCTTCTTCAGGCTAAACAGTCCCACCTCTCTCAGCCCTTCCTCATAGCAGAGACGTTCCAGTCCTTCATCTCTACAACAGACTGGCAACTGAAGATATTTTTCTGCTAGTATAATAAACCTTTACTATAAATCTTTCTTCAAACACATCTGATTTGACTCTACAAACCCCCTCATCAATCACTTAAATAAGTTTGTTTGTTTGCCATCCCAAACTAACATAATATATGGCAAATCAGACATTTAGCATCTAAAGATAAACTCCCTCCAACCGCTTCTTAGCTCCTTTCCCTCACCCGGGCAGAGGGAACAGCAGAAGGCCATCGCACCCCAGGTGACATGTCTGAATTGAACCTACCTTTCTGGATTTGGGTTGTTCAACTTGTTGAGATCCTGGGGTGGGTTTGGCCCAGAAAAAGCCAACAAGTGGTAAAGCTGAGAGAATATCAGAAAGCATCCCCAGGTGGGTCTTCTGCTGCTGCTGCTGCTTGGGCCCCCTGAAGTGGTATCTGTAGGACAGCAGCAAGCCAAGGGAGAAAAACACTAACACGGAGAGCAGCACCTCCTTATTAGCGTAAGTCATGAGGTCTCCGCACTTTTTATACACATAGATGAAGGAGGCAATACCCAGAAAGGTCCACATCGTGAGGGGACTGGTCGCTGTTCCTGGTTGCTTCCTCCAAAGCTTTCCCGTTGACGGATGCTGCCCAAAACGGGGTTTTGTGCAAGGTATTAAAAAAATGTATGTATAGAAACGCAAAGACTTCTCTGATGGGAGACCTCAATGAAAGAACAAGTTGCTCCACAAAACCCAGTAGAGGAACAAGCCCCCACCTCGCTGGGCTGCCAGAGGAGCCCAGAGAGAGCTTTCAAAAACGCCAAAAAATACCTAGTTTTTTTTAAAAAAAAAAAAAAAAAAAAAAAAAGTCTTCTTTAAAATCACCGAGCCCCGCAGAGGCGCTTTGCTCTCGCAGAGGCACGCCGCCGCCCGCCAGCAGCGATGCCCGCGGAGCCGCAGCGCGCCCGCTGCCCCGCTCCCCGCCGCGCCCAGCCCCGCCCCGGCTGCCGGGACGGCCGCGCCTCCGCCGGCCGCGCTGGGACCGGAGCTCCTACGCCCGGTGCGGGAGGCGGCGGCGCTGCGCGGGGGCCGCCCCGGCCGCCCGTGACGCGCCTGGGCGAAGGACGGCTGACGCCTCGGGGAGGGGGCGCGGCTGATGCTCTACCTGCTCGGCGGCGGGGCCCCCCCCGCAGCCGCCTACGCGGAGGGGGGATGAGGCGTCGCCTCCGCCTCCCCCCGACCCAGTTTACCCGCCAGGCAAACCCCCGCCCGGCGTCCCAGGGTCCGGGGGGGCCGCACCGAGAGCGCAACGTGGGGGGGGGGGGGGGGGGGGGAGGAGGACGGGGGGCGGTGGGGTGGCCATCGGGGGAGGGGCTATGCTAACGAGCAACCGCCTCCGCCTCCTTGTAAGTACCGCGCGCCCCATGCCTCAGCGGCACCTGGCCAATCGGCGACGCTATGCCGAGATGGCGCTATGGCCCAGTGGCCAATCCGAGCGGGAGGCAGGCGGGGCTTGCGCCCGCCGGGCACCTAGGCCGATGTGACGAGAGGGAGGGCGGTGCTGAGGTTGCCGTGGTGACGGGATGATGGGGCGACGGCAGGCCCGCCCTTCCCGCGCTTTCTACCCCCCCCCCCGCCCTCTAAGTGGGCCGCGCATGCGCGCTGCGAGGGGCGCAGGTACCAGCGGGGAGGCTGAGGGGCGCGGGCGGGAGCCGGCGGGCGGTGAAGGGAGTGCCACGGCCCGGTATCGCGGTCTTCCGTGCTCCCTGCCCGGCTGCGGGCAGCAGAACGCTGAGGGCGAACTGCTCCAAGGACGAGGAGGCGGCGGTGTTCGTCCGTGCGCTGGTCAGTCCTGAGGGACGGCGCCGTCCTGGGGCATGAGGAGGTTTTAAACCAGTTTCTGAGGGAAAGGCGTAAGGGCGCGGCTGCGGGACAGCCAGAGGGTCGGGGGCAGGCTGGCAGCCGCTCAGCTGCTAATTGGGGCCAGAAGGGTAAAACCAGTGGGAGAAATGGGGCGGGCGGAGAAGGTAAGAAAGAGCCTGCTGTGCCCTAGTCTTACTGACAGGAAGGGGAATTTGGAGATTTGCTCCTGGGATGATTTGTATGGCTGGATAAAATCAATAAAACAGAAAGAATCCTTTTTTGTCATCGAGCTCCTCAGGGACACACACCTGTGGTCCTCCCTTTTGTCTGTGAGAGGGACCTTTCTTGGGCTATGTACTTGTCTCAGTGCAACAATATTGAAAATGTCTCCCTATTACAGTATAATAATAATTAAAAGTGATGAAGCTACAAAACACATCAGGACCCCACTCCAGGCAGAACTGGTAAAAGAATGGGCAAAACCAATGACATGCAAACGAGCAAAAGGAGCTGAGATCCTTGCAGTAGTAAAATAGAGTGGATTTTGAAGAAGGGAAAAAGGTCAGAGGAAAATTTAAGCTTCACTGACAACTTCCCCAAACCCCTCTTTACACCCTTTGGATCTTGCTTTACACAGCTGTAAGGTTACTTGTGTCAACTCTGTGACAACATGTAAGTGTAACCCACTACTGAACATCAACTTGCTGTCTGATCCAGGTCACCCTGCAGCCACTGCGCCTGAGCCAGAGGAGAGGACAGTAAAACATGGCTGGTACAGGAAGGAGTGAGTGGGGCTGCAGGCTGTAATTAGATCTTATTAGGTGACCAACAAAACTGCACGCTTGTTCTCCTTCCACCCCAAGAAATCACCTTCTGTTGATGAAATGCAGAATGTCTTTCAGCATTATGTAATTTGTGAGTCATTTTTCTTGATACTTCTCTTTGGAGTGGTTAACACTGGGAATTGAAGCAATTACCAAATTCTGGTTTTGAGTGCAGCACTCACAGAGGCATCTCTTCAAGGCTCAGATGTCATTAGAATGTTTCTATGTTTCCAGCCAAAACATCAAAAGTGGGTGGCTTCCCACTACCTCTTCATTTACTCTCATTGCCCTGGATATGGTGAAGAGCTTGACATATTTGCATTTCTTTGTTCAGTGTAAGAGCTATCTTTTATTTCTTATATTAGCGTAAATAAAAAGGTATCTCTGCAGATAGGTAGAGCTACTGATTTTTTGCTATGGACTTATTTGCCAACTTTACAAAACAACATTGTTTCTTTACTGTTTTGTATTTATATGCAATCTTGAACTTTGTTAAGGATTTTTGTTCTAGAATAAGAAGCTTCTTTCTTCACTTGTGAAGCACTGTCAAGATGACTACTATGAAACATCTTTTAATGATTTAAATCTCACAGTGGCAAATATGAACAGGCTGAAATAAGAATTTCTAAAATTCCACAACAACTTCACAACCAGGAAATAAAGGCACCCAAGAAGAGGTTGGAGTTGAGCAGACTTCTCTCTTATCCCTCCTCCAGAAGCAGCTTCACTCAGTGAAATGCTGTTTTTAGGCTTGGGCAACCAGCAGTTGGCAGGGCAGTGATGTGATGCTGGAATAACCAGAAATAGTTGGCTGAACTCCAGGGTATAAAAAATAAATCGTGATGAAGACTTTGCTGGTTGTGCAGAAGCAGGTATCATGTATGCCACCCTAAGATGTAGACCTATAAAACACAAGACATGCCCCTAGCTCATTGTCACAACTACTCTGGCAGCTCGTGCATCAAGACCAATATCCAGGTTGTCAGACCTATTGCTTACATGCCACACAACTGACCGGCAGGTGCTGCGTGAGACCGAGCCTCACCACCCATGGACATGCTACATGTGATGTAGAGCCTGGTCTCACTGTGCATCTAATTAATGGTCATCTACTCACACTGGTAGATAGATGGGGAAAGGCTGGTGTGTAGACTAAAAGGTAAAAGAAGAATACCTATCCTTAACGTTTCACTAATCATCATGAGGGGCAGAGCCTGGTAAATGTTTGGAAGAGGAAGGTGGTAGGGTTCCTGAAAAATGAGGAGGATGGTTATGTGAAAGTGCAGCTATTCAGAATTGGAGATGCTTTGAAGCAAGAGGCCACTTGCATAAAAAGCTGTAATCGTTGTGTATATATCAGTGAGTATGTGAAGGAATATAAAACTGTTACCCTTCATGTGGGGATTTTATTATATTGAGAAGTTGGGTGGTTTAATTTTTCTAACAGTGCAATGCAGTTGGATGCTTTCAAGACTGATCACAATGAAGAACTCTGCAGAGATGTTTTCAGTATGTTTTTAATGTCAAAAACAGCTTAATGTCTGAGCAATGGCAAAAACGTTATCAAATATATATGTAAGGCATGAATTGGAATTCCATTAAGAAGTTTAAAATATTATGCAGCACATCATGAAAGCTCACCCTGATGACATACTGTATTTATAAAGTGTTCAAAGGGATGTTTAGCAATATTTTCTCTCTATGCCAGTGGGAAGATTGTAAAATAATTTGTATCTTATTAATGCATAATTAGGGAATTAAAGCCACTAGCTATTAGGTTCTTTCTAGTTCTTTGGCATTTATTTAAAAAGTCATTCCTTTTGTGCAGTTATGCAGCACTGAATAGAAATGAAGCTCTGTAGTGTCTATCTCCACATGCCATCCAAACGGTTCCTTCTCTTTATGGCAGACCCATCATGGATCCCAGAGGCCATATCCCTCCATTGTTTGCTCTGTGAGCAGTTTGTTTCTACAGATCTGGAGCTCAGACTCACCCAGAAGACATGCAAGTCTTCAAGTTCAGTGTGGAGCAATGCTGAACCAAGAGGTGCACAAGCTCTATAAATGGGAAAGCAGCTCATATTGGTGAATTCCCATGAGGTGGAATTGCAAATTACACACCAACTATAATCAGTCCATGCACTAGAGTTTCAGAACAGGTGAGCTCTTGAGGGCAGATAGAAAGGACAAACCAGACAACCAGCCGGGAACAGCACAGCAAGCTTAGCAAATAATGAAAAAAAATCTTCTGAGGCAGGAATTAATCCACATCGACTTTGCTGTGAGTGAACTTTTCCTACTGCTGAGCTAACTTACTTCCCAAGAGGGTTAATTGACACATACTAAATTCCACAGGACTGCATAACAGAAAGTAATGTTTGCAAATAAAAATGTTTTACATATAAATCATCTGACACCTATAAATGTCAAGTGCCGGGCTGGGCGAGCCAAGGACCCAGGCCAAGGAGGAAGAACGTAGCCGACTCAGTATGAGTGATAAAGTGTGCTTCAGTTTATTGATTTTCATTACAGCCTTTTATAATCTTTCTACTAATTATGCCTACTAGTCACTAGCTGATTGGCTTAAGCTCTAAGGGTCGTATTCTCACGGTCCACCTACTTGCAGTTAGCTTACAGCACAAGCTTCTCATAACACTAAGTTTCTCATGCTACTATTTCTAATTCCTCTTGACTTGTTTTCGATACACAACAGTACCGTAACACAATGTTTCTCAGACCACCGTTATCATAACACTGGGTTTCTCAGACCACTATTCCTAATTCCCCTTAACCTGTTTTCGACACACCACGGTACACAGGGCTGAAGCGTCCTTGACATTCCTCAGGTATCAGCAGCTGCGAGCAGCTGCAGGCAAACTCTAGTGGGGCCCAGCATCAGCAGCTAGAGCAGGCTCTGATCATACAATTGCTCGGTGGGCTCAGGACCCTTGTCTCTGAGCCATTCTCCAACAGTCAAGGGTAGCTAAAGTTTATGACTGAAAAGTACGAGTTGGAAATGTCAGTAAAAGTGGAGACAGCCTCTGTAATTTTACTGTAATTACAGGCTCTGGAGGGGCACATTACAGCAAGATGCCTGACCTACAAAACTTGGTGGAGAGAATCCACACAGCTGGCAAGTTCCATTTAGCAGCTTGGTTGGTTGGTTGGTTGTTTTGTAAATGAGATTGTCTCATTAGACTGTAGGAGCATGTGATAAAAACTTCTGAAAATTCATCATCTCAAGGTGTTGATAAATTCTTCCGCTCAGTTATGTGTATTTGCCCTGACATCCATCTTCCCTATTTCTTTTCAGTCTTTTCTGCATCTACTATTGTTTTTAATTAGGAGGTGCAATGGCTTCTTAATCTTTAAAAACTGGAAAAAGTACTCCTAGGAAAAATACTCTTTTGGATCAGAGAACTGAATATTTTTCCTCTGAAGTCCAAACTTAATTCAGTGTCACTTCTCATCTCTTTTTTCCCCTCCTTGAGGATACTGATCTTTATAGTGATTCACCCTGACTAGATGAAGGTATCAGAGGCCACTTTGTTCAAGTAACTTTTACTTTTTAAGCAAAAACTCTTCAGGCAGGATTAACACCACTGAAGAGCAAACCCCAAACGTTTGTTGGCCTAAATACATAACAAACACAGGAGTAGAACTAATGAGCTCACTGCCCTAGGTAAGGTGCCCTGTGGCTCTTTGCTTTTCAGAACATCAGTCAGGTATGGAGGGCCTGACATCCCTTGCTCTGTGGAGCAGAGACGTCCACAATGTTGCTGAGTTTCTGCCTTCTGATCCTGATCTGTTTTTTAGGATTTTCATTAGGATCTTTTTTTAGGACTTTTTACCCGAATTCTCCTCTAATCTTTATGCTGATATTACAATTTCAACAGCTTCACTTCTGTTTTCTATATTTTTCTTATCTGGCAAAGCTTTAGTTCATGTATTTTTTCACACCTTAACAATTTTGTTGATAAGAGTGACTGAAATTCACTCAGCTGTGCTACATCAAACTTGGCATTGGATGAGCGACATAGGAACCCCTTGATGAAAGTCTGCACTGCCTTCTAACTTGCTGTTCCTCCACCAGAGGCATGTCACCTGTACCTCAAAGGAAGCTCACTAAGTAGTCTCTCTATGATGGGAAAATTCAAGCACCCACAACCATGGCCAAGCCTGCTTTACTGCTACAATTATAAACAGACAGCTGTCAACACTGCTGCCTCTCCACGCTTCTTCTCTGCCTCACCAGCTCTAAATGGTGGCTGCTGAATGTCCTACTCTAGCTCTGCCTCTGCTCTAGCTTCTTCCACATGTTTTCGTCAATGCCAAGTCCATGTCCCATGCATTCTGTCTCCCCCAGCTTAGGGCAGGTCCTTGGCTCCCAAATTTGTTGTTCTGCATATAAGACCAGGCTGGTTTTCAAGAATGACAGTGTCTTTCAGCTGTCAAGACTGATGAGCATCAGGCTCTCTGATGGTCCTTCCTAGCTTGCCTCTTCCTCTAGGGAGAGGTTGGTTCCCTCACAAATGATGTGCAGCACAGGTGATGGACATCCTCTGTACAGCCAGGCTTCATAGAGCTGCTGTCCGTATCCTAGCTGCCCACTACAACCAGCCACAAACACAGACACTGTGGACTGGTGGAAGGACAAGAGGACTCACTCTAGTTGGGTAATCTCCCTTCCCTGACTCATTTACTGAGCGAGGAGAAACCCACAGTGGTTAGCAGGTACACAGCAAGGATTGGAGCGATAAGCAGTGTCTCCAAGAGTGCTCTACCCACGGTAGAGTGTGGTCACACTCTAGACGCTCTGGAGCCCTGCTGTCAAAGTGTAGATGAATATTCCTGCAGGAAACCCTTGTAGGAAGTACTTTTAACAGCATTTGTGGCCTCCTACAGGACTCTACTTGCATGTAATGAGCTGATAAGTCACCTCTAGTGGGACAAGAGCCCATGTCCCTTTTCTGCTGACCAGGAGTTGAGGCTACAGCTCCTGCTGCGTTTCCCACTGCAATCTCTTATAATAGGTCAGAGCAACAACAGCTCCTGGTTGGCTTATTCTCCAGGACAACAGCAGAGAGGTAACCAGCAATCACCTACCTTTCAAAAGGAGAAAGGAGTGCATAATGTGTACAAATGTATTGCTGAAACCAGGGCAAGGGGAAACATAGATATCAGGAAACATAAACACACTGAATTTACCTTAAAGTATACACATTTCATTAAAGGTACAATCTCAAGTTTATTTTTCTTAGCTAAAACGGAGATGATTTTCAAGAATGCTGGTTGCTTTCAACTTCCATCAGTGCTGGAGAAATTGCTATGTACTGGATTGTCCAGAAATGAGCCCAACAGGACCCTAAGTTTGAGTTTTTTATTCTGCAGGTACACAGCTCTCACAGTGTCTTGGTTACAGAAGTACTTCTCTGCTAAGCATTCAGCATTGAGAAGAATAGAATGGAGCTGCATTGAAAATCAACAGGACTCAAGGTTTAGACTTTACTGTTTCAAACTCTCAAGTTTGGAAAAAAACCACACAAAGTATCTAGGGCCAAAAAGGTAATAAAATGGGTTAAATATGGATTGAAGTACTGCTCTGTATAGTACAGTTGTATGTGAACAGTGCTGGCTTTAAATATGATCTGTAGTTCTGACTCTAGCATTCCCTGTAAAAAAGGGATACCTGTTTTTTTTTTTCCTCTCTTATAAAGGCATGGGAACAAATTCTTCTGTTAGGTGCTGCTGTATTTCCTTCTAGAGTCAGACTTTGTTTTTCTCAAAAGCTGAAGTGACTGGTAGGATATTTTCAATGTTTACTTCAATGCATCTTATTATCAACTGTTTTATATAGAAAGTATTTCAACTACTTTAGAATCTTAAAACCACCTGAGATAGGGCTGTCTAAGCAGCAGCCACACTGGGGCTGCATTTCCATCTCCAAAGAGCCCCTCAGAAGCCCTGTCATCTAGGTTAGGCCTTGCTGCAAAACCCTCTGCAGACCAACTCAGGCAGATGACGTTAACGTTTCCCGAGCAGGCTTTGCTTCTGGCTAGCACCCCCCTCTTGTGGAGTTTTGCTAAATTACAAGCCAAAACTTCCGTATTTTGTCTCTGTATCAGGGTCTGGTTCACAGGCACGCTGCTGCCTGGGTGCGCTACTTTGCAATATAAAAGGGCCAAAGCCAGACGGGAGGTGATCTCAGTAGAGGAATTTAACTTATCTGCAGTTTAATCAATAATTTCTGTTTACTGGTGTTGGAAAATGGATGAAGAAAAAAAAAAAAACCTGTTGAGGGTAGCATAAGCAATAACTTAAGCAATCAGTTGAACACCTGCAAATTATTATCTGTTGCAGAGGTCCTTCAGCTAGGCAAGCATGATAAACACCACCTGGGAAATGCATAAATGGAGAGGCTCCGTGCGTAAATTGGGAGACTACTAATCAAGAGCCCTTGTCCCTGAAGATTAAGGCCCTCTGAAAAATAATGAACTAGCTGAAGCTAGGCAAGAGATAAGAAAGTGCAGACATAAAGCAAAAAAAGCCAGTTCCAAAGTAGACAAAGTTCAAGAAGGGCTCCTCTCCAAAGACCACCAGAGACCCCCATGGAAGCCCCTCAGAGACTTAATCTGCATGTATAATAAACACGTAAATATGATAATGAGTTTTATGAAATTTTATTAATATGGATTGAAGAGGGAAGACATGGAAAATTACAAACTGACAGTAGCAACAAGGTCTGTTTAGAGGACTGTTTAATGTTGGCTTCAGTATGTAACAAAGTGATACAAGCTTTGGCTATTGTAACATATGGTGGACATGTTAGATGGAATGATTCCCTCATGTCTCCAGCCAAATAAAGTAATGCCTGCTCATTAATGCTAAGCCCAGCGTTAAGGAGTTTTCATTCCTGATATCAGTGACATTGGGACTTCTCAATCTGTGTCAGTAGCTTTTTCTGCTTTTTAGTTTTAACTACTTGATGCAGAATTTTTTTAAAAAACTAATGGGTACTTGGAGGCTCATCTCATGCTTTATATATTTTTAGGGTCACAAGTCTTAGAAGCTCTCTTGACACTTCAGTCAATATGAAATGAGAGACTCTGTTGTGGAAAGAAGCAACTGTGAAAATCACTAAGCATGCATATCCATGATAGTACTGTAAGCAAGAGGTAGTCAAATAGTAATCTTTGGATGTATAAATGAGCAGAGTGAGTAGGAAAACTAAAATTATTTTACTGAGGTATATGGCATTGCTGACAATGATACCAGAATGGCCTGTGGGAATTTGCGTTCCTGAGGGAAAAAAAGATGGCCAAAAGAGCACTACACCTGATTTTTTAGACTGGAGAAAATAAATTTCACCAGAATATTTAAGAAATTAATTGTGTTGAATTTGTCAAATAAATGACTGAGAAGTGACTGAATTAAAGCAGAGAAACACTTTGGGATAAAAAAAATCCTGTGTGCCAGTGGATTCTTTAATCAAGCAGCAGTGGCTGCCAACTGTTCCAGAGTCATTCAAATGAGGAATAAGGTCCAAATGTTTAATGCTGAGTGTGATCAATGCCTGGCACCATTTCCCAGGAGAGATGATAGAGTCACCTCTTTATGTCTGTAAATCAGGTGTCACATTGTACATATTTTAGCCAACCCCAAGCCATGCTTTTATTCAGCACAAGTAATTGGGTTAAATACAGAGGTAGCTGGTTGACACAAGATGGATTGTATTACATGTGACAGTTTAAGTGACTGTGTCTCCTCCTAGAACTTAACTCTATGAATTTGTGTTCTCTCATGGTTTCAAAATCAGCTGTTTACCAGTGTGAGAGGGAAGTAGCGTTAATGAAAGGATTTCTCCTCAAACTCCTGAGATACTCTGTGAGCATCTATAAAATACCAAGGGATACTAATTATATTAAATATTAGGAAAAATCCCAAATACAAAACCTAAGTACCTGAGTGTAGCAGAAACACTTGTAAAGGTCAGATTTGATGGTAGAAGCAGAGTAGCAGGTGAACATCACAGCATCCTATTTGAAAATGCTAGCTGGCAACCTTAAAGCAAAATGCAGCTTTGCCTCTCAGAGAGAAAAATGAATTTTTTTCTTCTTGATAGCTGACATAATGGAATGAAGATGAGTACGACTCTACCAGTGGAATGATTGGGAAAAGGAAGGGACAGCTGCTTCCGTGAGCAAGTACCAGAGCTGAGCTTGTAAAGAGAACTCCCAAACATATGGTAAATGCAAGAAGACAAGAAAAAACAAGGCAAGTCTGCAGCAAATGCATCACAGGGGCAAAGAAGAGCCTAGAAAAAGGGGACGTCTTCCATTTTATTGTCTATAGTAGTTCCCTTTGACTAACGTCTGTCTTCCATTTACTCTTTATTGCTGCAGTCTGGGCTTGGATATGAAGAATCATAGAATCATAGAGTGGTTTGGGTTGGAAGGGACCTTAAAGATCATGTAGTCCAACCTCCCTGCCATGAGCAGGGACATCTTTAATTGGATCAGGTTACTCAAAGCCCCATCCAGCCTGACTTTGAACACTTCTAATGATGAGGCATCCACAACTTCTCTGGAAAACCCGTTCCAGCGTCTCACCACCCTCATCATAAAAATTTTCTTCCTTATGTCTAATTTGAATTTACCCTCTTTTAGTTTAAAACTATTGTCCCTTGTCCTGTCACTACAGCCCTCATAAAAAGACTTTCTCCGTCTTTCTTATAAGCCCCCTTTAAGTATTGAAAGACTGCAATAAGGTCTCCCAAGAGTGTTCTCCAGGCTGAATCACCCCAACTCTCTCAGCCTTTCCTCATAAGAGAGGTGCTCCAGCCCTCTGACCATTTTTGTGGCGTTCCTATGGATCTGCTTCAACAGGTCCATGTCTTTCTTGAACTGGAGGCCCCAGAGCTGAATGCAGTACTCGGGTGGAGTCTCACAAGAGCAGAGTAGAGGAGGAGAATCGCCTCCCTTGACCCGCTGGCCACACTTCTCTTGATGCAGCCCAGGAGACACTTGACTTTCTGGGCTGCAAACGCACATTGCCAGGTCATGTTGAGCTTCTTGTCATCCAACACCCGCAAGTCCTTCTCCTCAGGGCTGATCTCAATCCATTCTCCAATCAGTCTGTATCTGTGCATGGGATTGCCTCAACCCATGTGCAGGACCTTGCACTTGGCCTTGTTGAGCTTCATGAGGTTTGCACAGACCCACCTCTCCAGCCTGTCAGGGTCCCTCGGGATGGCATCCCTTCCCTCCGGTGTGTCAACCACACAGTTTGGTGTCACTGGCAAACTTGCTGAGGGTGCACTCAGTCCCACTGCCCATGTCACCAGCTAAGATGTTAAGTGGTGCCAGTCCCAACACTGACCCCTGAGGAATGCCACTTGTCACTGCCCTCCACTTGGACATTGAGCCGTTGACCGCAACTCTTTGAGTGCGAACATCCAGCCAATTCCTTGTCCACTGAGTGGTCCATCTGTCAAATCCATGTCTCTCCAATTCAGAGCCAAGGATGTCGTGTTGTAGGTCCCTACCAACTGAAACATTCTATTTTATTTTTGATTTTTTTTTTTTATATTTTGTTACCCACAACGCCTCTAGTCCTGTTGGCTGGTGACTAGGATGCTTCAAGAGTGAAATCAAGCAATGTGTTGCTGGACAACAGCTTCTGTGCCAATGCTGAAGTGCTTCTACTAAACATAGGGATCATCAACACGAGCCTTATCCTTTGCTGTTTACCAGAGGGCCTAACACAGGCATCAGAAGGGACTGAGAGAGGGGCTCAGGTGCTCTGACAGGAGAGCCAGCAGTAGTAGGACTGGACAAGCAGGGATCACAGAGCCTGTTCCTTGGGGAAGCAGACACAGGATGCTCCCTGCTGCCCAAGCAACCCATCCTCCTATGCAGAGTGCCTGCTGCACTGCTGGCTGAGCTCTCCCTGTGGTCTTGGTTGTTCCTCAGTCTTGCCAGGCCTTAATCAGCTGTTTTACTCACAGCCTGAACACAGACCGTGTTCTGGCATTTGAGGATTCCTGGTCTATAATTAACAAATAGTCTTTAGCAATGCAAATATTCCTGGAAGATCTGGTCTGAGAAAACAGTGCTGGGACTTTACTGAGAGAGTAACAAAGATAAAAACATGGTCATTAGAGTCAAGTGAGGTCTGTCCATTAACTTCCCCTGTGTGGGACACCAGCAGGCATTCCTGCTATTTGGAGCCAGAGCCAAAGAGAAGGTCCTGGAGAAGTCCTGATTTCACATTCAAAACCATGCAAGGGTTTGCAATGACAAGCAGGCCATGCAAGGAGTGTGTGAATTAGGGGGCAGTTCTGCTCTGAAAGAAGTCATTAGCTAAGGTCAAAATGTTTTTGGCCACATTCATGCTACTGTGCTATGAAGAAAAAGTTAACTATACAAATAAGGGTATTTCTTGGCTCCTCTATGTCTTGTTCCCATTTACACGTGATGGGCTAAATAGTTAAAGATTAATTAATACCTTTTACAGAACTGATTTCACCCACAAACTTCGGCTTCTCTGGCTCATTTTTTCCGTATGTTTTTCCTCACAGATCAGACTGAACATTTTTTCTCAAGTTTGTCTTGTCCAATGACATTTCTTGGATGAAGTTTCCACTTCTCTGACAGCAGCAGAACTGTACTCAATGCTTGAACACAATCTGATGGCAGATTAAAATTGATGGTAGATTCAGCTCACCCCACATATGTGTGTCATCTTGCCGTGGGATAAGTAAATGGCAAATAAAGCAGCTTTTGGACCACCGCAGCTTTCACGCTACTGTAATAAGGCAAGTTGTGTTTGGGGTTAGTTCACTTTCAGAGTTTAAATTTAAAACACAGTGGCATTAGCTCTGCCTTAAAGATTTGGCAGACAGCCAGAGATAGAACAATTTCAGCCAACCAGATTTAATCTGTCACTGTGTATGTGTCAGAAACCTAAAGGTGAATCTGCAGCTGCAAGAAAATCGTTTTAATCTGATTTATTGTTACCTATGAAAACTTTGTATCAGTCTTTATTTTCTGAAGTAAATGGATGTTTCGTTTATTAGTTTCACACAGTTTGAATTTTTCTGTCTATAAATAAACCATACGTGTATACACACAAGTATGTATTTGCCTTCAAAAAAAAATTTCTTTCGGTATCTCGCAAGTGTCAAGTAGTCATAAATGTCAAGAATTCAGAAATTTGTTTCCCTAAAATTTTCTTTTGCATTCCCAATTAGCTCTGTAGAAGTTCCCGTTATGTAAAGTCCTGCCTTTGCTGTAGCAGTACCAAACGTGATTGAGATTTCTACTCCATTTTCAGACTTTCTGCTGATTCTCATTTCTTTCCCAAATCTTTTCAGTTTCTTTTGCTTGTCTGCTGTGTTCAGATTTGCCTTCTTTAAAGATCAGTTTGAACAATTCTCCTTTCAATCTTGTATTATTGTGAATAATCACACATATTGTTCTTCAGTATTTGAGAAAAAACAGAAATGTAATTTGATATTTTAGTTTACTTTGTGACCATCACAGAGTAAAATGCTAACTAAAAGTCAACCCTTCAAAGTATTTCAAGGTCTACTGAAGAGTTTTGCATTTGAAATGTTATTGACTAGTGTTGCCCTTTTCGCTCAAGTGGATCATCAAATTACAAGGCCTTGAAAGGATTTTTTTTTCTACTTGAATAAAAACTGCTGATGCATATCAGATATGTTCTTAGTATAATCATGTTTATTTGCAAAAAATGTGCATAAATCCTGTTTCTGTGTAGGCAGAAGCAGCAAACATTGGTAGGAAGTTTCATCGCCTGTAGAAGTGGGTGTGTGTGACCCCAGGGTCTGGACCCAGAAAGACCATATTTCAGCTTCTTCTAGAGATCACACCAGTAAGTCTTTCCTCTGCCTTTCTCTTGTTACTGCTCATAACTTACAGACCATACCCCATTGTCTATTTTTTCTAACTGCTGAAACCTTTCTGAATTTATCTTCCTTAGCTCTGGCTATGCATGTTCGTCTTCAATTGAAAACAGATCTGGACTGAGGGACTATTCGAGCTGATCTTCTCAGGGAGGTAGTCTGGAACTTCTGATTCATTAAATTCAAAACAGCATGGAGAAGACACTATTTGATACTAAATTATTAATTTTATAATCACAAATTAATATTATCCAGAACCTTCCTTTTGTATTCACAGCAGTCTTTTGATAAAACTTGTGTTGGAGAGGTCAGATTACAAAAATACTCATCGTATGTTTTGGTAAACATTTCAGAAAGGACAAAAAATTCAGTTTGTGGTTCCTACATAAATCCAAAAGCTGCCCCTGGAAAGACAACCTTTTAATCAGACTTTTAAATGCTTTTCTGACTGGCAGTCCTTTTAAGCCTTCACTGCAAAATTAAAGCAAGTGTTACAGCACTTTATGAGACAATAGAGTAGCTGGCAGATCCCAACAATTTCATCACCATACATCAGACCTGAATAATGAAACATGCACAGGCAGTAAGAGTGTGCTGGCATGGGTAGTTCGAATCAGAAAGCAAACAAGTGGGAGAAAAATAAGAAGTAAATACAAGGAGAAATTAGGCATTCAGAAAGTCTCACGTAAGTTAGTAAGCTTCCCAACCTTTTAATTTTGGGGCTTTCAAAAAATTGCAGATGATATAGGGAAAAAAATCCAAGTTGTTCCATAAGAATCTTTATCAGTTTTTATTCCAGCTGTCAAATTAGCTCAGTCTTAGCTGCAAAAATGGTAACACTGTCAGTGTGGAAATAGTAGAAACCAAAATCCAATTTTGAAAGTTCCTGGAAGATTCTGCATCATAACAACCAAGTGACTCAGCCTTTTCTTGCTGTATAGAAGCAACCTGAAAATTGTCTGAAGATGGCAGAACCAACTGAAGAAGGTCAGCTCCCACAAGGACTTCACTTGCCTTTGATTCTCACCCTCAACGTGAGACAGATAAACAGCAGTGGGCAGAGCTGTAACAAGGTTGAATGCATCTTGGATAAAATCCCAAGGTGGTGACCCTTCCCAGGAGTGGGAACTAACACTCTCTGGCTTTAATATCTGTGATGGAGAGCAGTGTTAGTATGTGCCAGGAGGCGTGCATGTGAGCAGGAAGCACTGCACTTCATTATATGGTGATGTTTGTGCATGTAGGGCTGCTGCTCATCACACGCCAGGGCTCAGGAAGATATTGGTACAGCTTGGCCCCTCTTCCTACACATTTGTGCTGTGAAGCTCTTCTCATCCCCGGAGACCCAAGTCAGGTGTCTCCTGTGAGCCACTTCTGCAGTGGTCCTTCAGTAAGTGATCCGGAGGTTTTGGAGATGCTGACTATTCAATTAAATTGTCAGATAAAGCCCGGCTGCTACTTACTACATTCGTGGCTGTCCTGAACCATTGGCATTTTTCTAGCTAGTCTGAGGTTTATTGTAGCAGAAACTGGGAGACCTTCCCTTATGATCGGAATTGAAGCGCTCACTTTAGATAAGGTTTCAGCCTCTTATTTTTCTTATTTTTAACACTGCCTGACCAAACGGGACAGTTGATGACTTCAAAAAACTGTTTTCCCCGGATGAAACTCCAAAGAACCACCCTGAAATACGCCTTTTATACCTCATTGTATCTACCTCCTTTGCTCAAGCATTTCCCTTTTCATATTTTGTTAACACTGCAGTGTCCCCTGCAGGCCCTGACGAATGTAACTTTGCATTTGGCCCAGCTCTGATTGGGGAGTTTGACCAACCTACCTCCAGAGGTCCTTCCAAACTAAATTATTGTACGGCTCGTGATTTTTCAGCAGGTAAGAATCATACTCAGTTGCATTTCTATCTCTTTTACTTCAGCAGTTATTATCTCACCAATGTGATTATCCTCTTATTCCATCTTAACCTTGCGTGTGCTCACTGACACAAATTTTAGTCCACAAGGTGAACTTAAGAAAAATATCATGTGTTTTCTTTGCTAATCAGCAAATAAGATCACTATGACTTTCCCAGATAATTGGGTCCCTTATGAATGTTAATATATGTTCAATAATTAATGTCAAGCAGCCTTCCCAGGCTGAAACTTTCCTGCTTGTATTTCTGCAGAGCTTTTAAAGAACAGTGAGAAAAAAATCTCCAGTTGAGTAACAGAAGCAACAGCACAGTTCCCACTAAATTTGACAGGCTTTTGATTATACTGTGAACAAAAACTGTGTACGAAAAAGATGCAATACAGAACAAGTCATAGGTAACTTCACGGCTAAATACTATTCTTGAGCTGTTGCTGGAAGAATCAATGGATTTTTATGTCTGCCAAATTTAATAAATAAAATTCATGTAACTTGCATTTTTAAGTACCCCCTGCTAAAGTTCTGGCTGAGCATTTATAAGGAGCTAAAAGGAGGAGGTCTTCTCTACAGCTTAGTAATAAGGCTTCCATGAACAAAAAAGGGCTAGGAGGCAAGGGAAAAGGAAGATCTTTCTTGCAGTCATTCATGAAAGATTAATCATCTAGTTACAAGACTTCATCAATTAGAACTTTACTGTAACTCCTCTTTTCTAAGCATTTGCACTTGCGGTTCTGATTCTGCACATACTGAGGTGTAGTTCTCTTGGGAAGAACTCCTTTGACAGAATGAAGGTCATTAGCCCTTTCAAAGGATATCCAGGCATTGACCATTTACCTAAATGCTCAGGGTAATTACTTGACTGCCCGGGTAAGTCACCCAGGATGTGGGTCACCAAAATCCAGGTACCATTATTCTGGAGAAGGTTTAAGTCCAGAGCTCCCTTCTCTTTTCTGTTACTCCACCCATCTGCTGCAGGCTATTCTGGTCCCCTGTGGAAATTCTGATTTGTATGGCATACCTGAATATATATCAGGAGAAGGAAAGCAAATGAGTATGATACTACAATATGGTCATTAGAGCATTCAAGAAGTGGGTGTTGTGCCCAACTTGCTAGTATTTAAGCATTTTATGGAAAACAGAGTTTAGAACTTTTTCCCTGAATAGCTGGGTGATATAGCACTTACCTAGCCACTTCCAATGTCCTGGGATAAAAATCAGAGAAAAGGAAGAAAACCCAGGTCTAGGTGAATGCTTCACTTCTGAGCTATTATAGAAAAAAGGCAGACTCTTTCAGCCATGGCTGTATCGAGTTGCATATCAGCATATACATCATACCAAATCCTGCGGGTGAAATAGGAGGGGCAAAAAAATGAACCTTGGTGAGGTTTCTGTCTAAATTCAAAGTATCTGGGTACTGTAATGACATAGATGTTGGTAGCAATGCACAATAAACATCTTCAGGTTTTGTCAACATCTAAGTAACCGTCACTAATTTTCTCTTTTTTTAAAAAAATACTTATTTATTTATTACAGCCATTAGCACATATAATTTCGGTCAAAACCACCTAAAACTACATAGAATCATTTGAATCCCAGTTATGTAACTTCAACATTCTGTAATGTCTTAAAAATGTACAGAATTGAGTCATAATAAACCAAGAGTAATAATTTCTCAGATACTTCCCAAAAGAGAAATTAGGAACCTCAGTGAAGAAAAATTCATAAGTCAAGAAATACACAAAGGTAATACTTGCACAACTCTGAAGTGTTGAATTTTCCCTGAAAGAACTGCCAAAAGAATGGAAAGAATCTTATTGAATCTAGCTGTCAGATAACTTAGGTTTTTTTCTCTTCTTTAACGAAGACATTCAACATGTGAAAAGCTTTAGCCCAATCTGCCCTACCCTGCACAACCAGTGTAAAATCTGGGATCTAGAAGTACAGCATTCTCAGGCAGATAATACATCTGCCTCTGATACCACATTCCAGTATTGCAGCTGTATAGTCATGCTGTCCTTTTACTAAAATACTTTTATTTATTCCTCGTAATTATATGAGAGAACCGCACAAACACGCATTCATTTTCCAAGAAACCTGAAGATACATCATGAACAATTAAAGACAGTCCTTGGCTAGAAGGGAAGATGATTTATACAGCATACAAACACACAAAGAGCAGAAAGAGAGTGAAAACAAGAAAATCATCCCTTTAGCCAATTAGGACAGCACTGATAGTTTGCTCATCTCTAAATTATTTTATTCACAGAAGTGAATCCTTGGGAAGGTTTGAGTGTAACAGAGAGGTGCCTGGTGAATAGCTTTGGGAATAGTATTGTAAATACACCTGCTAAATAGTATCAGCAGTAAGAGAGAGCTAAATTTAAATATCAAAGACATTAAAATTGACACACACTGGCTGCTGGCCAGAGAGCTAAGGAAAGCTGTGTTGTTGGGTTTGTTTTTTAATGAGTTCCTTTTCTGGATCTCAGTGAGCTTGGTAGCAAGCTGTCTGTCAGGATGTAGCACTACAGAGACGGTGAGATGCGAAACCGATATGTGGAAGATCAGCAGTAGATAAGTATTTTAATGGTATTTGGCACAGAGGTAATAATTACATCCACATCAGCAGAAGAGGTCACCCAAGGACAGAAAACTGAGGATGGAGGGGAAGAGGCATCAGGAAGTTTTGAGGGGGCTACACTTTGAGGTGGGAGGAAAAGCTTTGGGGACAGACGCTAGAGAGAAAAAGAACATAAAAAAGTCATGATGTCCAATGTGACAAGGTATCAAAGGACAAGCATTTAATAGTAGTGTCAAGGGCAACAGATATATCAGAGAGGATGAGGATAATGTGCAGGCTTGAACCTTGGTTAGGAAGTAGACTTTCAGTGACATTACTAGGAGAACATCTGCGGAGGGGAGCTGGCAGGAAGAGATCGAAACTGGTCTGGGACTCCAGATCACAGCCATCTTTTTTATTTCCTTATTGCCACCACAGTCAGTTTGTTCATCCACTTCTTTTTTGTAAGAGTGTTAGACAGTGAGAACTCTAGGACAAGGTGTTCCAGTTTTATTCTTTTGGATAGCACCAAAGGCCAGAGATGTGAAGGGATGCATAATGGCCCAGGAAGACGGTTTTTTCTTAGAGAAAATTAAATCAACGGGGTAACTGAAGGGTTAATGCACTGAGCAGGGGAATAAGGCAGGAATGACACAGTCAGCAACATAGGAAGGGAAAAAACAAAAGATGTTGATTATCATATTAAATTGAGGTTAGTAGGCCCAATTAACATTTGTTACCTTTGCTGGGTTTGTTTATGAAACCTGTAACATTACTACAGAAAGTTGCATGTTAATTTAAAAGAAATAAAGAAACACAGATAATATCTTTTATTGCTAAAATCAAAGCAGTCACTGGCTTATCTTGATAAGGCCTTGCTGAAGCAGGATGGCATCTTATCCACAGACAGCAAGCTGAAGAAACCTCTCAGGAACCACTCCCTTAAGTATGCCTTCCTATGCCTTATTTTATTTCGTTTGCATATCATTTTCTAAGCACTTCTTAATTGATTAACATATTTCTAAATACATTAGGATATAGCTAATACTGGCTATGCAAATTAATTTAATCAAAGTACAACTCGCAGCTCATCTGCAATACATTGAATTTATGTCAGGTTTCTTAGGCCTGCCTTTCCCTGCTTGCACTCCTGCAAAGCTAAATTCAGCAGTAGGGAAGGACAGAGGGTAAAATGATTTCTAGGGGCTCCCTGTATACTTCCTAACAGGGTGCAGCACATCTTATCTCCCAGCCTCTCCTTCCTTGGGGCCAGCATCTCACAAAACAGCAGCAAGTATCAAACTGAGTAGGCAAGAATGGCCAGACGAGCCCATGCCAATAATGCTGCTCAGAGACCTTGAACCTTCATCTGACTTACTTCTCAGTACTCCCTGCTGCAAAATGGGCATAATTTTACTAATCTGATTTGCAAAACTGCGATGTTTTCATTAGCTTATATGCACTAAGTGTCTGGAAGTAACTCTTGGCTTGTATAAATGAGAAAGGGAATATTTATAAAAAGAGAGAGAACACAAAGGCAATACAGATCTCGGAAGATCTGTTCAGAACAAGAACTTGCTCTCAGATTAAATAGGTGAAGTTTGTTTAAAAAGGCTTTGTGGTATGAAAGACTGACACCCAATCTTCTCATTGTGCCTTGCAGGAGCTACTACAGGAGCCTTCAGCATGTAGGAACAAGCCAGCAGCTGCCCCGCACTGGGGCAGGCTCCCAGGACACCTTCAGCCATGCCAGAGGAAACCCCGAGTAGGGTTACTGATGTGATTAACGCCAGGTACCTTTACAAGCAGCCCTATGGCAGAGTCCGAGCCTCAGTTATCCATGCCCCAAATAAGCTCAGCCAAAATCAATTTCCTCTGTTCCTGCTCCATGCAGCGTTTTGAAGTCCAAACCATTCGCACGAGAGAATTTCTACTTCAGAAGTGCCTCCTACCAGGTAAATGGTTGCTTTGCACCAAGTAAAAGGCCGTGGCTAATCATACATATGTTTAGGAAGGCCTTTCCCAACTCAGCGAGCCGGTATACATCAATTCTTAACTAACGTGAACTCATTCATTTACACCACCCTTTAATACTCTAATCTTGGCAGGCTCTGCATCAGAAACTTGGATCCTGCAGCCTACCGACCACACAGGTGCCTTATTATTGTGAGTGGGATTTCAGGGAGAAGTGGCTTGCAAAACGTTTTCTCCAATCTCACCGAGCGGGTATCACAAGGCAGGAATCTTAAAGGTTTTCCTTAGAAAGTGATTGGACAGTTTTTTTTTCTGCCTTCCCCAGCACTAGTCTGCCCATTGAACTCCCATGTATTGGGATTTCACAGCAAAGTAGTGCTTTTGGGGGTCTGTGTGTCAGAACACTCTTATGTCAGAGGACAAAGAAATTGCCAGGACCAGTGGAGGCATTAGAGAAGGGAACAGGATGGAGTTTTCATAGCTGCACAAACCAGTGCTAAAAGAAAATTACACAAGCATTGCACAAGGGAGGCTTCACTGGAAGTGTTGCCTCCGGCTCACATTCCTTTTAAGCTGTTATAAAACTTTAAATATAATTAATAAATAACCAGGCCTCTCAAGTAGAGATGAGTCCAAAGCTCTGCCCGCTGCATGAACCGAGTTTGTTATTTCAGCTCTTGATATAAAAGTACAGCATATCACCATGAGCTATAATGAGACTCTCAGCTGTAGGCTTGCCAGTTGAGGTCAGCCAGACTGGCCAGGCTGCATTACTGCTGCAGAGGAAACACAAACCCAGGCGGCTTAAATAGGTGGGGTAGGCTAAATCAGAGACCTAATTCCAAGGCAGGGTGAAGGTACCACCTGCAAACTGCTGTTTGGATCCAGGGTAAAGATGACCATGTCTTCTCCTTGCTACTAACCCACCTGACTTCAGGGAGCTTTCCTCCTTCTCCTCTCCCTTCCCCTTACAACATCAGCAGTGGCTGAGGGCTCTGTGCTTGCAGGGCTGGGAGATCAGTGTGGCACTTGCAGCCTTCACCTCAGTGTCCTGCGATAACAGAAAGGAGGGCCAGGGTGGCAGGAAGATCAAGGAGTCACTGCAGTGAAGGAAAAAACCTCCACCTCTTAGCTGTGAGACCTGACAGAGTCTTCACCTCTCCCACTGTGTCCTCCAGGCAGTTCTCTAAGGGCAAACATTTTGACAATAATCTTCCCCCTCTTCCTTTTGTTTATCAGCCTTTACAAAGCTATTGGTTGGCTCTAGAATGAAAACTTTCTCTAATTCTTTAAGTACGTAAAGAAAATTTTTTAGAGCCATGTTACATTTGGGTACTTTTATCCACTCACATTCATTACTAAACTATTAGACATCTCTTCTCTGAGATACTGGTTGCAATTTGTTTATTGGTATGACCTGGATTATGGTGTCCCTTTGGCCACTGCTGTGAAATACTAATCCCAAACTTAAAACCTGCTTTTCTAATGTAACAGGCTGTTTAATGGGCCAAACTGGTCCTGGTGAAGGATGTATGACTAGATACAAATACATGAGAGTATAAAAAGACTACTGTTTTTATTTGCTAATTAAGAATGCTAATAAATAATTATCATCTATTTCAGTCAGGAATTTATTGGGTTTTTTATGTTTCTAAAAATCAGATCACCTTTATCTAAGGGCATAAATAATGGATTTAAGAGTGCAGCTTCTGACAGCTTTGAAAACATTAGCTATGGTTGCTGGTCTGTAGCTGAGACAACATTGACTCAACAATTCCCAGAGCTGGGAAAATCTCTCTGGGTGTCAAATACCACACAGAAGGTTAAAGAGTGAATATAATAATTGCTTACTTTATATGGTAGTATTTTTCCTCGTAAGTACAGACTAAAAAAGTCAATGTATGAGAAGAAATAAGCACTGAGTACCAAATACTCAGCAGGTTACAAGTAGAGATGAAGAACAGGAATATCACTATAGCTTTAAAAAATGTTTGGCTGTTGTGAAATAATAATTAATATCAGGTCATGGTTAGACTTGTAAATTAATGATGCATGACAAATTGCAGCTCAAAATTGATCCAAGGAGTGCATTAAAATTAACTGTAAAACATTTTCCAGGATTATCACAGAAATTAAAGCCCACAGAGTACATTTGATGGCTAATTTGTGACCTTTGGTCAATGAGCCATGATTTCAAGACTAACTCTTGTAGAAATATATTCTTATAATAAATTAATCTAATATTTTACCACATGTAAAATGGTGTAAGACAATCTTACAATCTACAAAGAACTTACTTGCACTTTGGCTTTGAACTTGGAAATGTATGTATACAAAAAGAATCCATTAAATTTCAAATTTTACCTAAGAATAAGATACAGTAAAAGTCAAGAAGATTAGAGAAAGAAGAGTCAGGAAAAATAAGCAGGGTTTGTACCAAGGATGATGGTGTAGTTACTCAGCTAATGCATTTACGTATCATGAGACAATGGTCTTGGTGGTGGTTGCAGATTTTCCCCATCTTCAATACAGATATGATTTAAGCGTCATTGACTCATATCCTGGGACAGAAGGAAGAAGAACAGAGACTGAGGTTGGAATAGTAACGAAGAGGACGCTGGCTTAGGAGCTTCTTGTACTTCTCAAAACAATATTCTCTTAAAATCTGTCTACATCTGTAGCATCCAGTATGATGGATTTTTTTCCAAAAAAATTTTGCTGCATAGCTATATCCTATGAATGGTATAAAATTGCCTTATCTGCTATTGTCTCTGTTTAATAAGAAGCTCTGTGAATCTTGGATGACCACAGAGAACATTTCAGAAACACTCTATACAGGTTTTGTAACATCACTGATGCTCCTTATTGTGTCCAGAAAAGATAAAAGAAAATATTGCTCTGCTCTTTCTAAAACAAAAAAAAAAAAAAACAAAAAAAAACACCAAAAAACCCCAACAAATTACAGATTTCGCACCCAAGCTAAAAAAAAAAAAAAAAAAAAAAAAAAAAAAGAGACACCCTTAAGACCATATACAGTAATTCTTTATCAACAATATTCTTCATGGGAATACACTGACGTACTTTTGAGGAGATGGGAAAAGTTTGCCCCTTTCTTCTACATGTCTGCTAGCAACCTCTTGCTGCCCTTCCCTTAGAGCATCTAAACTACAAGACAAGTTGTGTAAGCTCTGGAAGGTTTCTGCTAGCCATGTTTCCAACCAGAAGTTGCAGTTACAGGTGTTCATTAAGTGAGCACAGCAACTGGATCAGGACTTTCAGGCAATGTAGGGAGATGACCTGAGTGTAGAGCTTGACTGGTGTTTCCGAGCAGGCCCAGAAAGCAGAACTTTAATTTGCTGGGAAAATTCATGAGTGGAAGTTCAGATGTCTACAGAATTCATATGTCTGTAGTGCTAAGTGAATTTTTTGAGATTTGTGTATTTTGAAGTTAGTACCCAAACACCACCTAAATCTAACTTAAGGCATTTATGGCCCTTCACCAATCCAACCCAATGGCCTCAGAGAGATTTAGAAGAAAGACCATAAACCAGGCAAACTTCAACATCTATATTATACAGATATTGCATGTGTCAAAAAATATTTCAGAAACTCGATATTTCCAGTTCTAGATCAGTTGCCCTCACATCTCACAACTGATATTATTGTGATCTGCCTGCAAAAGGCAGGACACCAAATGCATTTCTGTGGGATTTTTCATGTTTCACCCACGAGACTATAAGCTTCTGATTAAATGATCCCTAAAGGAGAAAGGAGGAAGAGGCAGTAAACCATTACATTCAGTTTCACACAGAGGCAGAAAATAAATGAAAATACAGTTGCCGTGTTCTTCTAGCATTTCTTAAAAATTACTTGTGTGGAAGAAAACAATATATACACTTTCAAAAATGCCAGAACATAATCCTGATGATTCTTTCTGAAGGCAGTTAGATGCTGAAGAGTGGCTGTAAAAATGTTTACAGTATACATTTTCTTTCACACATTATTTGAACATAAAACATAGTTCCCCCATATTGTTCCTGAAAGTCTGAACTTGCAATGTCGAAGATGTTGGGTTTCAGTGGACAAACTTCCGTTATAGTATTAGAATAATTTGAAAGGATGGTCCACAAGGATTATTTTTCTCTTTTTGCACTTGTGTCTATAATGTTGTACCTTAAAAAAAAAAAAAACAAAACATTAAATGACAGTAGTCTGCAACAGTGCAAGGGACAGAAAATGGATCAGGGAAGGGAGAGACAAGGATTTTCTTCCCACTGACCTCTTAGCTGGCAGAGTGTGTCCTTCACTTCTCTGTCTACCAGCTTCCTAATTGTTTTCCCATAGTATTGATTTCCATTTAAATGTGCTTTATGATCTGAGCATACCAGTGAAACACACTTCATAAGAGCAAGATCATATCCTTTGATAACTCGTGATATCACTCATGCGTTTTAACTTTGGTGCCTACGCGAGCAGGTGTTTTATCATTCTTAGGAACAAGCTTCATGATTAGAATTCATTCACTATGTGCATGTCACAAATAACACAAAAGCCCCTTCTTCTACTTAACATCTCGATTCTGTTCACTACATAATAAATACTGTTATGGATAGTGCTACCAAATCAAGGAAGTTTGTTTGGTTTTGTTTTGTTTTTTTTTTTCTCCTGTAAATCATCACAGATATTGAAACTGAGTTGTACAGGTATTCTGGCTGTTCAGACATAGAAATGTATTTAATTACAAAGACTTTTTTTCCCCTCCTCCACTTACAAAAAAGAAATAATACAATAAAATGGGAAGAAAAAAGAGGTTTATCCACCTTATGTTATACCTAATATCAAAAAAGGAGATGATGTAACCTCAGGCATTTCCACTCACACCTCAGCTGTTGATCAACTACCAAACACAGAAGACTGGTTTTGATACACCAAGAAGCTGAGCCAACACTGCAATCTTTTATGAGAGCACCTGATCTCCCTGGTTAATTAGAGACACTTGAAATTGATTCTGTCCAAAGACCAGCAACAGCTGGTATGTTCAAGCCTGTGTCAAGCAGCTCTGGTGTACATAATTGCCACAACTGAGATCTGACAAACCCCCTTAAAAAAAAAAAAAAAAAAAAAAAAAAAAGAGTCTGTAAGGTATCAGGGCTTTTAGAGCTGTTGCAGTAATGTGCTGTTCTAGTGGACCATCTGAGTGTTACTGGGAATAGTGCAAAAACAGCAATAGTAATTTATGAAGAAAAAAACCATAGCTGCCCTGATGAGACGTCACTACCTAGAAGAGCATGTTTTGCTCTGTAGCTACTCAGCAAAGCTGTTTCTCTTCTGTGTTGCCTTGCACCTTTTAACTTGGAGCAAACTGTCATCCTGTCCTTGGTATGTCTATAAGAAAAACAAAGAAAAAACTTCTTTATTCCTTTCCCTCCACGCTCCTTCAGTGTCTGTACTGTCTGTGCTGTGTTACTACCTAATCTTGCCTATTGCTGGTTATTCGGATAATGTAGGTATTTACAGGTTGTCATTACAGAGGTATGAGATTAGATATTGTAAAGACTTAACTTTTCTTATACTTTCAAATACTGATTTATAGCAGCCTTATTTTATTCTGCTGCTGATTAGCCTTTGATGAGATCTGGTAGCAGTGTTGCTTACATAACCTACCTGAACCCTCTTGCCTTTGCTTTGAGATTTGCCTGTGTTGTTGAGAGAAGAATTAGGCCTGTTATTTATTTGTTCCCAAAATACGGTATAACTTCTCATGTCTTAGAACTAAAAGAAACAGCACAAGAAGATGTGAGATTTCTAAACCGTAAGAATTTGCTCAAAGGCAAATAAATTCATTTTAATTCTGGCTTGGGTTACTACTTCCTTTTGTTGTTTGTATCAGCCCAAAACGCTAACTACTTCTGTGATTCCATGTATCTGTACATGAAAATGCAAAAAATTCACTAGCGTAACTGTGCTTGTAGTTAAGGGGACGTATAAAGTCATTTACCTCAAAATATCTTTAGCCACTTTTTTATTTATATCTATCTTAGAATGCAGCTGTTGTAACTATTAAGATATCTGTTCATAGTGAAGAACTGTGTGAAGAGTATAATTATGTGTTCATCGTTAACCCAGATCTTAACTCTAAGGAAAAAAGATTCTTTATATAAGAAATAGAGGAACAAAAAAGACTAGTGGGTCTATTCTATTAAAGCCCAATCCATTCAGAAAACATTTCCCTGCGGTCAGAATCTAATTGCTTTCTGAATAACCATTATGTATTCGCCTTTGCCCACTGGGCCATTCCAAACGTGACATTCCTTAGAGGGGAAAAAATGACATCCAGCTGTCTGGTTTGAATTTCTATTTTGCTAGCATATACCGGTATTGCATCCAAGAAGCTGTATTAGAAGAAAATTGAGTTACAAATGCAGCAATTCTGAAGAGAAGCATTAGAATTAAATTTGCCATGTTACCTTATTTTATACACTTTCTATGTGTTATGATACAGGCTTTTATTGTGTGATTACATGCTGTATTTTCCATATGATGCTTGCTTTGTTCAGTCCAAAATAGGGATGATGTCTGCTGAATGATCAGCTTTAACAGTTTCACTGTGCAGCTTCAGACCATGTTCCAGTGGGTTCTGTTTAACAGTACACCAAAGTCACCAATGTTAATTTCCTAACAGGCTCTTCTGTGGTTCTCAGAACTATCATGGATATTATTTAATTAATTTTCATACCTTTCTGGAGATAAGTATAGTTCCTTGTTTTGCTAAGGCAGAGCTGAAGCCCAGATGAGCAAATATCAAAGATATCCTATTGTTTTGGATTTCCATTCTGAGGCCACGAGAACACTAACTTTCTTTGGATTGCTTTACATGTGCTGTAGATAAGCACATATTACCACAGAGAAAACCTGGAGATAAGCTGAAAAGAAGTAAATTGTTCTTCCAGTACAGCCCCATCACAACTGCTTTTCTTTGCAGAGCCCCGTTCTGTCTGAACCCTTCCATCTGCTGTCTTGTCACCTAAATATTGTTTTCCTTGACTGTCAAGGTCAAGTCACCCCACTGGTGTTCTGGTCTTCCTCTGCTCAGTCTCCTCTAATCCAACATCACAGAATACATCCGAAGTAATTGCCAGGACAAGGCATGCTGCTAGCAGTGTGGGGAAGGGAAGTATCCCAGTGTCAAGACTGCAGTTGTGGCAGTCTTTGAAGACCCCGATGTTTTGGTGGCAGCTGGCATCATTTGTACGGGAGGCATGAGATGGACATGAAACACCAGCAAAAACAGCAAATATAAAGTGAAGAGGTGACTGGTGGATGTGTCAGACCAGGAGTGGTGCCAGAAGGAAGCAAGGAGCTGCCATGTTTGGGTTTATTTTGTTTTGTACTAGCAGTCTGAGCCTTAGTGAAGCAGCAGCAATAGAGGGGAGCAGGTAGGCAGGCGGTAACAGCAGCAATCCCAGTGGTAAGTAGATATGGCTAAGGCAGCAGCAACTGTGTTGTGACCCTGGAGCCACACGTGGCTTTCCAGCAGTTCGTATGAAACTCCTGTAACGTCATGGTGTCTAGGGCCAGCACTAACTTGCTGCTGATCATGGACTGCATCTATGGGAGAAAGGAAGTCTTCAGCTTCTGAGGTTGGTATCATCAGATCATCCAGAGGCCAGCTAGGTACCTAAGACAGGTTTGTCCAGCAAGGAAGAGGTTAGGTCCTTGGAACTCCTGTTTTCTTCTCCAGGCAAAATCCGTTGGCGCTCCCCACCCTTCATCTCTCTGTAGTGTCTTCGTATGACTGATGGAGACAATTTCTCAACAGATACCCAAGAAAGGTCAGGAAGTTTTCATTCCCGGGAACTGGAAGACAAGCTGTGGTGGAGATAGCTGGAGTTCTCTTAAAGGAGAACTAATCTGTGTGTCAAGCTCGATTGCTCTCTTCCAATGAATCCTGTAATCTGAGATGGGATGCACCTGTGAGACGCAGGACTCCATTTTAACAGTTTTACTCATGAATATCCAACCGTCGTAGCCATGCTAATAGCTGCTGAGATCATTTGGTTTTCATTTTCATGTATCTTGTAAGGCTCTGGTTTCCCACTTGCAAGTAGAACTTGTGCCCTGTTGGATGAGATTAGTGTGTGGACTATGAGCGTGCTTTTGTTCAACTCACGAAGGCTCCCAAGAAGAGGTTTATGCTGGTCTTGGTCAGCTACAGGGGAATAGACAGCATGCAATGCAGCATACTGGTTACCCCCGGCACATCAATCTACAAAAATGTTTTTGATAAAAAGGAACTAGCAAATTGAGGGGGTTTTATTGAACCAGTGCTTGTCATGATGTGTACATGATGCTTGAGATACAGTACTAGGACCTCAAACAGACATTAGCATCTCTCCAAATCGTAGTCTGGGCTGTACTAAATCAGTTGCACTGAGCTTAGCCTGAGAAGTATAAGTAAATAAATAAAAGTCTGCCATCTTGTGATAGAATTTAGTGACCTCTTTTTCATTCTCTCGAAACATATGTTTCTTTATAACACACCATTTTTTCATCTGAAATATAAGCGCCTACAAAAATAAGATATGTAAAAATGTCAGCAGGAGAATGACCTTTTTGAAACTTCTAAATAACCATTCTAACTTTAAATCTATTTTTCTGAAAATATAGGTCTAAGTTTAAATGCTGGCTCCAGGCAAACTGTTTGAATTGTTCAGCTATCTAAAAATACACTTAAAAGCTATATATGAAGAGACAAGAAGCTGATGTAGAAGCAAAGGAAGAGACAGAATGTCATGGCCTTCAGGAAGCTGTAGCACAAAGACTTCACAGATGTTCCTTTCAAAGAATCCCTCGTGTCCCTGCTCTTAGTGCAGATATTCATGGGGAAGGAGCGTGCCGTATTCTTCCATGGAAGTTACATAAAGAGAAGTAAGCTAAAAATAAAACTTTATGACCAGGAGACCTAGAAGCAATGAAGACCAGAAGGATACAAAATATTAGAATTAGAGAAGGTATTTTGCTTTAGACAGTCTTTCTAGTAAGCAAGTAGGGGCAAAAAAACCCAGTGCTGTTTCACATAGCTGCTAAACACAGAAGACCTCACAAGCTCCTTGGATTTTTCCTTGCAAACATGAGATAGCAGACAGAAGCAAGACTTGTTTTCTTGGGTGCTGGGTCTGCCAGATCGGGAACTGAGGAAGATAAAAGCAGGAGATTGCAACAATAACTGAAGGGACAAGGCTGATGAAATGGGCGCTTGAATTTTGTTCTCTGAGGCAAAGAAGATTTTGCAAAGCAGATCACCTGATTCCTTGCTCCGTGCAATCTCTTTTCATTCAGTCACCGGAGGATGGAAATAGTTTGTGTTTCTTTATAAATGGCTTTGAAAGATTTCTGATCTGCCTTTAATTGGGTTACCATCCTGTCTTTCCCTGCTGTTCTGCATGAAATGTTGCTTTGTGACATACGTTTCCTCTTCCTTTCTGTACAAAAGAAAAAGATGAAGATCAAGTTATTTCTGAATAACAATGTCTAGACTCTGTCACTGGACTCCATCCAAAAATGTTTAAACAGGTCATAGCTTAGGCTGGTGTAAACTGGCACAGCTGCAATAGCTTTGTTCTAGTT